GGGCAAAAACAATGGAAAGGGGAGGAGGCGGAGGCCTGCTGGCCGAGGGAATCGGGGAAAATCGGAAACAATTGTCGCTCGTGTATGTTCCGAAGAGAGGACTTGCGCGCGCGCGCGCAATTTGCGCGTCAGGAAAATGCATGCTTCGATGGCAGCAGCTGCGGGACGTTATTGATACTACATTTCTCCCGATTTGACGAATTGCCGTATTGGACTAATGGTCCGAATACGAAGGCCCCCTCCTGCCCCCCCAAACCCTCCTTCCGACCGATTCCAGCCTGGCTTCTGACTCGCGGCTACCTAGCGAAATTGTTGACCCCCCGCGCCCAACCCTTCGTAAAACTATAACCTGCTCATAATTCTCCGCCATTTTCGGTCTGGAGAAGCCGGAGGAAAAAACGAGAACGTGGCCAAACAAATGGCAAAGGTAATACCGATACTTCTGCTCCGTTTACTTTTCGAAAAATCAATGCCCCACCCGATCGTGTCCTTCTCGTGCCGTTGTTTTCCTGTTGCGAACATTGCCGTTCCTCGCTGCGTGTAAACGTGGACTGTGTATTTGATACGCATTACTTCGAACTTTTCGACGAATTATTTTAGAAAATAAAGCAAAATAAAACGGAACGTTCCACTTTCCGAGGGCTGTTAATCTTACTCGGATTTCGAATATTCGAGAAGGAATTTGTCGTAATGCAAATCTCGTTTCTCGATTAGATATCTATTGAGAATTTAGAATGAAACTGACATGCAAAGTTGATCGAAATTACAAGCCGCTGAAATTAATTCCCAATTGATGTAATATTCGTTGTATCGCACGGACAGTAATTGCAACAAGATACATCAATATCCAGAAAATATGCAAAAAAGTAGTATTCTATGCACTGCTTTATTTAAAAGCTAGTTAAATTATTGCAATGCTTCGCCGTAGGTATTTGTAAAATTAATATCAATGTGAAAACGTCACCATATATATATATAATCTAAGCATGAAGAAAGAGACATCAAACCGTACAAGTGGAAATTCATTGACGATTCACCGGGTGATATAGATTCACGTAGAAAATATACGGTCTACATTTCAATCTATTCTAGTATTTGGAACAGAATCCAATAGACTGATAAAAATTAGAAGTTGTTACCTGAAAAATCGGCTGCGAGGATGAAGCGAGAGAATTCACCAGGGCACGCCACTTTTCACACAGGAGCGACCTCGAGGCCACCGCTACGTTCACAATCAACGTCACCGAAATACCAGGGTAATATAACTTTGAAAAAATAGGTCGACTAAGAACGTCCAGATCCGTCAAACTGTCTTTTAAAATGTTCGGCGTTCGTCGATCGAAGCATAATCACGAAATGGAGAATACGAAACACTGTGCTCGAACACGCTCGGAGGAGAGAACAGGTCTGAACGTGTACATGGCTAGGTAATATCGTCGAACGAGAGGAAACAAAAAAGAAAAACAATACAAGACGGACTGCCAGCGAGTATATCCTACAAATGTATACAAACCAGCCGATCCGATCTTTGTTGCGGATTATTACGAATTTACACGACCAATGCGTTAGTCGACAATATTCACAGAATAGAAAGTCACGGAATCGGTAACATTGTATCAATTATATTATATTCTATAATATATTCTAATATTATATTATATTATATTATCTATTCTAGTATTCTAATATTATATTATATTATCTATTCTAATATTCCAATATTATATTATATTATCTATACTGATATTCTAATATTATATTATATTATATTATATCAATTACATTATATTCTTGTATATTTTATTATTAGTACATTAACATTATATTATAATATAGTATTATATGTATTATTTGTATTTTCTTAATTTATCAAAATTCGAATATTTTATATTATTTATTAATATTGTGTATCATTTATTTAATATAATATTTAATAATATAATATATTATTAAATATTAATATAATAATATAATATTTATTTATAATATATTATAAAATGTATATCTGTTTTCTAATATATATTATAAAATTTATTATTATTGGGTATTATTTCTTAATATCTTATAATATACTAAGTGTACAGTATATATTGTATCAACATATACTGTAAAATATTTGAATTATTATGAAATGAGAAAATACTTAATATATATAATTAATTAATGCCTCCAAATTATGTACCTATAAAAACTGAAGTAATAGTACGTTACATCTGGATATCATTTATTCAATAAATGGTATAATTATTTTCTTGATTAATGCTTATTATATAGTTCATTTGCAAAGATAACAAATTTTCACCGATAATGCGGAACAAGTGTCATTAATGGCTGACATATTAAAGTCGAATTATGACGTACGTAGATTAGAATAATCGTTAATTCGTACTGCCTTCGAATATCGATTAAGGTTTCAGTCAATCTCGAAACAATTCATTTGATTTTATTGTAAAAATAGGAAATACGATTTATTGCAAGTTTTAAGGGATTGTTGCAAAAGGGGAGACTTCAATCTCCAAGATCATGTGTATCCGTAGAATTTGCACTTACCGAATTGATTAGTTAATAGAACATTGCGAAATTTTGAAGCATCGTCTCAAAGAGTTGAATTTCCTGTGACAAACACTTTAACATAGAGTTCGAACACTTTCACCAAGTTTTCCTCAATCAATTAATAATTAACACGACACAAATTAACGTTCAATTAACGAGCATGTGTATCACTTCGCCATAACGAACACTTTTGAGAAAGAAAACATCAAATCAAACGTTCGTCTGATCGGCGAGCATTAGTGTTGCCACCTACCGGTGATATTGCAAACTATCACTTCCATTTTGAATTATCCGCTGCTAGTGACCGATTGTCGCCAAATTGAAGACCATTTTCTTTTTTTTTTTTTTTTTAAATTATCTTATCTTTTAATTTATCTCCTATGGCGAGTTATTTCTATCAATGCAAAATTAAAATGTTACTGTTTTTCATTTTTGTACTAACAAATTTCAACACTTTCGAAAATTAAAAAATCGTACAATTTCTTTTTTTCAATTATTATTAATAATTTTGCAACGATGCCTAGACAGAGGGCTTAAAATAAATAAAACTGCAGTTTCGGTTGTTACCATCTCTTTTTATTCTAATATAATTACGAGCCTGTCGCAATTAAGGCACTCATATTTCCTATTTTTCCCTCGAATTGATTCAGAAAAATGGCCCCGAAGCGGAGAAGAAATGAAACTACATTATGCATAGCGCACCATTTTGCTTGCTGCATTCTCGGGAATGATAATGGCATCGTTTGAAGTGTTCGCGTAATTAATGAAGCTAAAAACTTTTGACCCTTAATTACGCTGTCCATTGTATTTCGAGGGGTCTTTCTTTTCTCCGGGCTACTGCGAGAATATGAATAAAGAATACGGGCCATATTGCAATCAACGAGTGTCTCGAGGAATAAATTATATACACGCGATCATTGTTTTCGACGTCCGTTACATCTGTCGCGTTGCATCAAGATTTTCAAGGTAATATACCCCACACTTTATATTTCCACGAAGATAATTAAAAAAATGAAATTATTTTATCCATTGAATGCTATAACGAGTACTAGCCTTTAAATATTTCTGTGCGCTATGTGCATCTTTGCATTTTTAAATTTTCCATAAATGCATAAAAATCTACATCTAAACACTGCGTCGCTACGTTTTAAAATTTCAAATTCAATTTGATTTCATTATTGATTTCATTGATTTAAGTAATTGAAATAAGTAAAATATTGAATAATTAAATATGTATTAAATAAAATAATCTAGGCACTCATAACGATCAATCGAACAACAGATAAAGAAGAAGAATTATTTTGCGAAGCAATAAGTTGCAGATAATTACGAGTAAAAATAACAGTCGTGTAATTATCTATAAACAAGAATAACAGTCGAAGACCAAAGGCCTCAGTAAGAAAGTCCGTACAGCCGAAAAATCCCGCGAAACCCTCACAATGTCCATTGTCTATCCTCGATATTCAGGACTTCTTATTCAAAAGGCTATTCATATGGACGGATTCATGAAAGTTCATTCTTCCATGTTATTTCGGTAAATATCGTTTTTGGCATCCCATTGTCCGAGGTATCGAATATTCAAATGGAACGGATTGCATTCGAACGCGGATTCTTCCATTCCGCGGCGCATTAAATTATACACTTGACGCGCATTATACATCGGAACAATTAACGCTGGCCGACTATTCGCGTAACATTAACCGTTCATCGATATTTCCCTGATTGTTGCAGTAAATAACGCGCTCGTAAACAATAATTAATTCGTTTTGGTCGTAAATAAAGGAGCCAACGATCGATCGGTAAGTGACCGTTCCAGTCGGATTCCTCCAGGAGACTCACCAGATAATTCGCCCCTTCGTGCATCCGACAGGAATTTTTCCAACTAAATTTCCAAGGGTAATCAGGATCTGCAATTATCCGCGATTACCCGGTTTGCTCGAAATAATTGTGTTAATAGGCCAGGAGGAACGTACTCGAGAGAGAAATTGCTTCGCTTCGTTTCCTCTTTGGAAATTATACTCTCGCTTATATGACGGTCCCTAAACTTTCGTTAGACCTAGAACTCCATTCTCTCGTGTCTCAATCGCGAATCGTATTCCCGTTGTAGAAAAGTCCACAAAATTCGAGACGAATACTCGCAGATTTCGTCGGAATTTCAAGAGAATATTGGCGAATTTAATATCCGATTCCGGCGGTTTAACGACGACGATCTACCCTATCCAGCGAGTGTGGGCATCGGGGCAACGAAGAAGAGTGGGTGGGCCTGACACTTGCGGTCCCAGGACGAAATCGAACAACGGGACAGAGCGAGAAAGACAGAGAGAGAAAGAGAGAGAGAGAGAGCGGGGTCTGCGATGTAAGAGTCGGAGGAGCCCTGAGGGGCCCTCGCTCGGGCTGCGGGCCCGGTACAGGAGCGGAGAGGGGCTCGAGGGGGCAAAGGCACATTCCAAGGCAGAACGGCTGCCAGTGAAGGTGGAAGGCACGAACAGTCTCTCACGATATTGCGCTCCGCTCCTATCCTCGTTGCTTCCTTTCTTCCAGAGTGCCTCGGCCGCCTCGTTTTCACCCGTCCCCGTGGGACCGCCGTGTGCCGAACTGTGCTGTTCTGTTCTGTGCTGTGCTGTGCTGTGCTGTGCTGTGCTGTGCTGTGTGTGCCGTTGCGATGCCACGCAAGACGCGGCGCGATGCGAACAGACTCTCAGAATCGAATTAACGAGAATTCCGTTTCGTCGACGCGAACCAGAGGTATGCACAACGCGCGCGTGATAGAGGAGTTACGCGATACTGCGCCAGCGGTGCGCACGATAGACGATAGATAAGTGTGTGTGTGTGTGTGTGTTTTTTTGGCGCCACGCGACACGCGTGGCGAGACATTTCGAAAATGCGCACACCTACTTGCACGCGACGGTATTCCAGTGGGAAGAGCAAGGAACAGAGTGCCCGCGTCGAAAATAGACTTTCGCCTGGCGTTGAGATCGGGGGTCCGATGGTCGGGCATGCGGAAGGAGCGTCACCGGGAGACAGTGATTGAGAGGATCCGGCAGACGGGAGCACTTGAATATTCGATCGCGCAGGTGAGCCGCGACTGTCTTTTTCTCTTGCAAAGGTGCACGATGCGGCGATGGATGCCGGGGCCTCGCCGTGTGCTCGAGCTTTTGCGCGTGAACGAAATAACGAAAGGATAGGATCGCCGTATATGAAACGTCGTTTCGTTTCAGGCGAAATTCTAGTAACAAGCTGTTCCTCTACGACGTCACGTATTTGATCGAGGATGGTTTCCACGCGGCCTCGTCCGTTTATTTTTCTGACGATCGATTAGATTATTAATTTCGACGTTCAGAAACTCCGCCGACGAAATTTCTGTGCCAGGAAATTGTCTACGTAGAGTGGAAGATTCCGAAACGATGAACTCGCGTTTTCAGTAATTTTTACAACTTTGAGACAGTTTAACGAATATTCCGATTATTCGCGGTGAGAGTCTGATATTTTTATTACAATTCCCCTTGATGTTGAACGTGCGTGATTTATGCAGTGAATTTTTTGCATCTTCTAATTTTGTCATCTAATTCACAATAGAATGTTGAATCGTCAAATGAACGATATTTTTATATGCTCAAACTTAATACCAGTCCTGGGAAGAATTCTTCGACCAAACGCAAACATTCAGAATTCAAAAATACATCGACCACCTACACGTGTCCCAAGATCATTTTTAATTACGTAACATCGTGTGAAATCATTTTCACTTTTAACTTTCGCACGCTGTCGTAAAATTCCCTGTATTAACGAAATTAATCGTCGTTTCATCAACAGAGTTATATAATTCAGACACATTGGAGAAACTAACTGATATTTTCAATCTTCGAACATTGATTCGAATCTTACGCTATGTGGCAATCGTAGAATTTCGACGGAACCAAGCCGTGACTGTTGACACAAGCGTGCCATTTATTCGTGACGGTGAAACCGGTATCCGTAGCAAACGAAGCGAGCCAGATAGCTTATCTGAATGCTAGAAATTAACAGCTAAAACCTTCAGATAAAGTCTCTCTCAGATTTCGTCTCGGCTCGCGATCGTATCTACCTTCCTCTTCGTTCTCTCCCTTGGCCTGAACAGTAGCTTAAACGAAAGCAATTTTCAGCCACTTGACTACCGATCGATCGATCGTTGCACCGTAACCTCGTTAGTTACATCTGGTTTACGATCGTGTACCAACCAATCGTTCTTGCCGCGAGAAGTTCTGTTTTTTTTTTCTTTTTTCTTTTTTTGGCCAAGTCGGGAGAAGCGAATCGTTCGACGTCGAAGCGGTGAACAAACCGTGGAGAAAAGAGGGATCATCGATTTTCTGCTTGAACGAAATTAAATCCACGTGCCGCGAAGTATTTCCATTCTTCGTTCGATCGGGCGATCGTCGCGGAACGACAGAAAAACTGAACCCCGCGTCCGAGCAACGCCATCGGCATCGAACTTGACCATGGCCTTCAGCGGCTTTGCGCTCGTATAACGAGATACGAGGAATGTAAGTAAGTGGCCGAGAGTCCCACCGGTTGTACTTACGAGAACTACTTCGGTTCGCTTGGTTGCCTTGTAACTAGATGCTCGGATACCAAATACGCTTTAAGGTAGCGACCGATGTGATCGATTTTGCAGGTGAAACGCAAGGAGGCCATTAGGCTAAGTAGATTTTCCTTTAAAAGTAGCCATAAATCAGCCAGCAGCTTACCATCATCATGGCTAATAAGAGGGCCAATAATACGGATATTTCGCGTCGGATTTTTCATAACGCGTTATCCATTGGATTTTCCACCCTCGAGTGCCAAGCGCAACGTAGACGTTTAATGTTACACAAGCAGTTATTACGAACGTTCTTAGAACGCTTTTTAGTTTTAATGTTAAATATTATAGACTTTTAATCTAGACTCTGCAATTTTTCCACTTTGTACTTGCCTTAGAACTTTTGAACGAGTGTATACGTATTAGTAAAGATTAAATTCCTGTCAATAGCAAAGAATTACCAAGTACTGCAATGTAAAAGTAATACAATAATATAGAAAGAGAAAAATAAATATTAAACATCCGTTTATATCGTACAATCGAGAAAAATAAAAGCCTAATGTAATTCCATTCGGACCGACCAAATTATCTAAATTTAGGTAACTTGAAACAACTTTAGTTCCGAACCTGTTATTCAATTAACCTGAAATATCCGTCAATTACAACATTATAATTGACAGAAGAGAAATGTATAACACGATTGTACGTACGTCTTGAAACAGACAGGTATTTGCCGTTCAATGCAAATCGTAAAATATCAGTTTCAAGCTCCCTTCTATGCTCCTGTTAAGTCACGACACTCGAAACTGACACGATGTTAAGCCTGCCCATCGTAATAATCGCGACAGTGGCACGTATACTTCCACCTGATCGATGAAACCTGTACGCGCGTTGCACGACGTGCAACTCTTTCTTCGAGTGCGAGTCGTAGCATCCGCTTACTCGCGAACGAAAGTCCAGCTAATTGATTTTTCCGCGAACGACAGACCGATAGCTGCCAGAGCGGCCAGTGATGGCTATTATCGAGAATTCGTAACAATTTCTTAACAAGGTAATACGGAACTAAAATTCAGCAGGGTGGGGATTCCTTCGGGCGAGCACAATGCCGAAACCCATTGAAAAGCCACTCCTCGCGACTCGAGAAGAATCGTCTAATGTTCACCGAGATATTTATATAAGTTTTCCTTGAATGCTATCCGAGAAGTTTTAACGACGGAAGGCGCTAATAGGCTGCGAAAGTTTTCCGCGTTTCCGCGTCCGGAACGGATGCGATATCCGCAGTTAGCATCATCCCATTACTCGTCATAGTTGCGTCGTAATTGGGGGATTCGTTAGTTCCCCGACCGACCGCTTCTCGTCTTCTTTTAGATCGATCGCGAGCCTCGTATCTTGTATTTTCAATCGATCGTCAAATTGAGACTATATATATATATATTTATAATATATAATATATATTTATAATATATATATATAAATTTTACACCTCCAGCTATTGGAAAAGCATAACAAAAAAAATAAATGCACGTGAGATGATACCTAATACGTCTTGTATAATATCGATTTTTAATAAATAGCGAGAATTATTTAATAAATAGGGCAAAGTAATTTTTCATCTAGGGTTCACTTTATAAACATGTAAAATCGCTTAAACATTCGCTGTCTGTTAATTGTCGACTCTAATGTGATAATAATCACGAAAACATCATATTTTCTTGGTAATTTTCCCAAGTGAAAAAATATAGATTACTCGTCGAGAGCTTGACCCATCCTATTCACGTTTCAGTGAATAAAAGTCTGTCAGTATTTTTAAGCAAAGTGAAAAATATCAAAAAATGTTCCTATTCTTCCGATGAAAAATCATTTTAGTTCGCGCTAAGTTCACGGCAACAATTTATCAATTTATCAAGTTTTGTAGCGAACCTGTAGCATGGAAAACGATCCCCAACTGAAGAGATGCGAAAAACCGGGTACGACTGACCCGTGAACGGTTCGTGATCGATCGCGATCGCGAAAACGAACGTATCGTGCTTCGGCGTATCTCTCGAGTTCTCAGATCCCTCCCCGATCTAAACGATTAATCCGAACCCCAAGAAGCCTCGACGTCGTTTCGCTCCGCTCGAATTTCGCTTCGTTTCTCCAGCGACCGAACGAATCGTTCGTTAACGAGAAATCGGCTGAGCACAACGGTTGGTGCATTTTCAGATATTACGATGTCCCAGCCGCAATTAACCACCGACCTGGACGTTCCGGAAAGTCCGCAACACTCTTGCCAGTGTTCCGCAATGAGTAGCATGGATTCCATGAGAGCAACGAGGGATAGAGCGGAGAGGAGTGTGGGAAGTACAAGAATTTCCAACAACCAAGAACTCCCGCGGGATTTAGAGGCGCTTCAGAGCGCTTTCGAGCCGATAAGAAGACTGGAAAGTCCGCTGTCTCATCAAGAAAGCCAGCAGATGAATTTAGAGAACGCGAGAAACGTCGAGATGCTGGAGCATCAAGCCGGCTTGTCCGGTACGAGATCGATGGACAGTCAAAACGCAATTTTGTCCAGACACGGTCACAATCTTTCCTGCAGCCCCAGGAACTTGGATCTCTCCCGGAACTTGGCCTTCGAGGCTGCAAGAAGAGTTCAGGAATCCAGTAACTTGCAGGACAACCAACACAGCCTAACCTCCAGCCCTAGTCCTTTGCTGGAGTCTGGCACGGCGTTGCTCGACGTTGCGTCCGCGAAAGAGCTGGACAAACAGCTAGCCGACGATCACGCCGCGTTATCTCAGAAGGCAACCGGCGCCAACGGCAAAGACAAGCTGAAGAACATTCAGCAGAACATTCTGAATCCTTATCAACATCATCACGAGCCAGCGTCGCCGGAACGCAACGTCCACGGGCATTTCCACGTCGGCGATGGCCACGCGCACGTGCACAAGCACGCCGACAATTTCCGAGGCACCGCGAATTTGGACGTCGCGGATGGATTGATGGGATTTCAGCAGCACGCTCAGCGACAGCACACTCATCATCACCACGGCAACACCAAGACCACGAACGTCGCCCATCATCACGGGCCGACGACCGTGCATCATCCGCACGGCCCGCAAGGAATAGCGACGCACCATCATGGAAATCTGCCGGCCAGCCTGACCGGCCACGTTCACGGGAACGCCGGTCCTTTAGGTGCCGGTTCGAACGCGAGTCACGGGAATCAAACCGCGAGTGGAAATCCGAATGCTCATCATCATCTGAACGCGTCGATGGCGACGTCCGCCACGATCGGCCACAGAAACTCACCGACGAGTCATCATCGTCTGAGCGGCACCGCCGGCCTAACCGGTCACTACCCTTCAAACTCAGGCTTCTCCAGCGATCATCACGGTACCTCGAGCGCGATGAGCGGGGCTTCGTCGAATTCGAGCATGTTAAATCACGGCGGCTCATCGCCAGCGGTTCATCGGCACGTGGTCAACGCGAACAGCAGCCTCTCGACCACGCCGCTGGCCAGCCATCATCATGGCAGCTCGTCGGGAAGTTTAACCGGACATTCGAGCGTGAATCATCATCACGTGAGCTCTGGCATATCCTGCGAGTCCTCTTCGTCGAACGCCAATACGAGAACGCACAGCCGTTTAGATCACGTGCACGATCACCATCATCATTTGCAACAAGTGCATTCGTTGCACTCTGGCCATCCGGACACGAGGCAAAGGGACAGGGCTCCGTCGAGTCTCGAGCATCATGGGCATCATCACGCGCACATGCACGCTCATGGGCATCAGCACGCGCAAAGCAACGACACCAAAACTACGTCTCTCATCGGAGTCGACTCGATACAGGTATTTCGATTTGGAAGTTTTAATTCGCATTTCAATCGCGAGTTGTCAGACTGGATGGCAAATTAAAATTTTGAATCTCACAGTTTATCGTTCGTTTTTCTGCAAATCTTTTCAAAGAAATCTAGGATCCAGATAAAAATTTTGCGACATTTCAAAGAATGTTAGCTAATATAAAAATTACATACAGCTATTTCAGATGTCTCTTTCAAAGTCTAAAGTATCATAATTAACAGAACACTCGAAGTATCAATCTTTACCAAAATAAAAATCCAGAATCAGTGAAATGCAATATTATATAAATATAGAGATATTTCTAGACTTGAACAGAAGGGTTAAATTTAAAAGGTTTATCGGAAATGATCAAAAACTTTCAAGCAATTTAATACGCTCCATCATATTTTCATCAAAATTTGAATGCGTTTACCGGCGAGAACGATCGTTAATCATTAACGCATTTACGCACCGACGCAAAACTGTTACTCGCATGACTTCTGTAACACTTCATTATGCAATTTACTGGCGTGATAACAGCGTGATATGCACGGTTTAACGATTAACCAGTGACAAGCAATTTTACATATATTTTTTAAATCGTGTCTTTCGATGGAAAAAAATCATGTTTCTCCTTTTTTCTTTGAACTACTCAGGAATTTCCTGCTGAACTTTTATGTTTTAGGTGTCGGCCCCTTCGAAAAGTAAATGCCAATGTCACGTGGTGCAAACTGGAGGAAACAAGAGGGGGCAGGAGGGTGAAAACGACGGAGGTGTTGAAGTGACATCAAGAACGCATCAACCGCCAGCACTTCCTCCGCGGCCACCCCCTAGGCCAACTAGACGATACGAAACTACGTCTGTCAATCAATGTAAGTGTTTCCTATATTTTATTTTGTTAACAACGTTATCGATAATAATCGATCGTCATGAGAGTATATGTATATCTTATCGAAACGCTGCAATCGATCGAGCAATTTTACGAAAATAAGAACCTGACAACTTCATTCGGATCAATCAAGTACAATTGTTCAATCAAGAATCAAATCACTTATTTCGTCAATTTGAAATACCTTCTACAAATTTCTATCTTTCTTCTCGTTCACATGAGAAGAAGAAGCTCCTCAATTTTTGCAGATATAAGACAGATTTCTTTAGAATACGATAATTACCAGATTTTCGAAAATAGTTTACTCGACTCGCTCTATTGCCTTGTAAACCTTTTCTTCGCAAAGCCCGTCAACTTTGTACAAGTAAAAAAACATTTCTTTGAAAGCCACGATGATTATCGACTGAAGCCGATGCTAATTTTAAATTTTCCTCGTCGCAAACGCTTTCCCCAAAAGCCTGCACCAATCGTGTGTACATCTGCCCGAGTAACGAAGGCAAAGCGAGGCACTTGGGGCAACGTTCGAAACGACCATATCTCCTGTGAAACAGCGAATCAATATCTCTTACACGTTGGCTTGCCCATTTGAATGGCAGATACACAATATCGCCCAGTGTTCGAACCGCTCTTCCCATCCCCCATCGTTTGATTTCCGCTTAAAGCGTTCGCTCATGTCACGCGGTTGGACAGTGTTTCCTGAAACTCGCTTGAAATTGGACGTTACCGCTACCGCGTTTTCACCGGCGAGATGGTGGCCCGGTAGCTCCACCCTTAGTCACTCGGCTCGACGATCATCCCGAGTACGCCTGCAGTATCAGCAAGGATGACGTGGAACAGCAACGCGTCAGCCGATCCGTTGTTGCTTTATCAATAGCGGACGTGGCGCGCTTTATCGACAACGCGGAACGCATCGTTGACCGATTCTACTTGCTCCGGTGGAACAACCCCCGTGGAATTTCGACCGACGACCGCGTCGGGTCGCTGGAATCGTCACGGTGTATCGACCAGTCGATGCTCGCCAGCAACCGAGAGGCCAGAAGCATCGTGACGAAGAATGCTGCGAATCGAACAACAGGCCACGATACTTTTACCAACCCTGACGTTCGTCCACGCTGGCCGAGCGAATGGCTGCTCGACGAATACCATCTTGGATGACTCTGCGATGGAATCCCGAGCTTGAGGCCTCCAACTCGAAATCACCACCACCACCACCACCTGTGGGACACCTCGGAGCCAACGTGCGGGCCAACGGAGATCTCTCGTGGAGTGCCTCTCCAGTTGTTGTGCTCTCGCATTCGTTTCAAACGAGCTGAACGTGTGGAGACGCGGAACGGGGCAGCAGCAGCAGCGCTACGTGATCGTAACATGTGATACAGTTTTTTCTTTTTCTTTTGACAATGCCAAGAGTTTTTCATCGGACTCGGATTTTTGAAAGACGATCGTACAGGGGAAGGGTACGAGGGTAATCGACGTTGGTGACTGACGTGTGACGATTCTAACGAGGATGTGTTCGATGAAGGATTGACCTTGGCGAAGAATCGTGCCGACGCGCAAACGGTGGTAAACTAGCAGAGAGGACGGTGTGTGATGCAGTTTCGTTTAACTTTCTTTGATCTTCGTTCACTAACGAAAGACGAAAGATATGTCATTTAGAATCGGAAAGCTAGTCATTGTAGTTCGATATTTTTCTAAAACGGTGTGCTGACAAAGCACGCGGATACGTATGTAACTGTCAAGCGACACGACGTCGCAGAAAGTCGAAGACTTCGAACGAAACGAAAGAAACGATCGTGCGAACGGATATCTACGATATCTGAATAGAGTCAGTGAAGAAGAACATTGGAAGTGACTGAGGCAACACGTGTTAATCGAGACGGACGAAGGAGGAAGTGACGGAGAGACATCGAACTCGTGGTGAAGCTTCGTCTATGGAGTGAGGGGTTGTAAGGAGGAAGATGGATGGATATCCAGTGCTGCAGATAGTCCGATGCCGACTTGGAATGGAAATGGAGATGGATAACCAGGGTTATCCATTCACAATGGCGGCACACTCGCATTCCCACTTGCCACATCCGGCAAACCACGCGCACTTCCCGAGATCGCATTACCCTCACCCCTGCGGTATGCCGATTAACCCTTCTTGTTAATTTATCAATCGGTCCTGCAACCCTAGACTATGTCTCTGCCACTGATCTGCATACCCGCATAATCTGCTATTAGCTATTCCATTAAATCGCCTTTGACACAACTCGTTAAGATAATTCATTCGAACGAATTCGGACTTGAATCGCTACATTCGGAACGTGCTGTCAATCAATAATTATATATAATTTTCTGTAATCGATTTGATTATTACTAGCCTGGAAATAAATCATCGAGTCGTTTTTTTTTTTTTTAATAAAATACGTTTGAAGACGAATCACGGCGAAGAGTAAATTAGAATCTCGATGGAAAGTAGTTTTGTATGTCGAAAATTACCAAAGGTGTTATGCCTTTGATAGTTTGCATTCCGTGCGCTTTAAATATATCTTGGAAATGCATAAATTTCGCAGGAATCGAGATACGTGATAAAATTTCAGACTAGAACTTTTCAGGCTTATTTGTTTTGCAAATTTCAAGCGCGCAAGACTCTCCAAGCGTATTTCTAAAGACGAGATTATGCATTTTCTAGTATCTACGTTCTATTTTTACTCGCGAGAAGATACGTTGCATGGCCTCGTGGAAGGTCACGTGGATAACAAAAGGTCGCCGTATAAATAGATATCGACAGCCTTCTTAATAAAACACGTTTGATTTTCTACGAGAGCTGAGACTCGATAAAAATTCAGCACGTCGAAGACTCAGTGTTGCTGGATTCCTGGTACCATCCAGAATTCAGTTGAACGTTTCATTTCACACAATTCTTCTCGATTAATGTATCACGAATTCTATCTTTTCTATTTTTTAATTCTATCGAAAATAAGTAATTTCAAGAGATTGAGAAAAAGGAAAAATTCGGATATAAAGATTGCTCTCTCGTCTTCGAAATTTTATTCCATCGGTTTTATTGTTAAAAATTCCTTTGAAATTTGGGGGAAAAGCGGGGATCAAATTGCGACTTCGACAATATTATTACGTCACAGAGAAATTTATTTGTCCAAGCTTGCGAAGGTTTTCGTGACTCGAGAAGAGGGCAAAAGATCGAAAGCATTTCATCTACAGAGAGAGACTAACCCGCCCAAAGAACTAACGTTTCGAGGAAAATTGGAATACCTGTCGTGCCCCTTTTACCTTAAACACATTGTGTTGCCAACAGCCAGCATTTAAATCCCGGCCTCGCCTCGCTAACTTTGAAAGCTACGATTCACCAAAATCGTAACTATAACCAGCCCAGGTAGCAAAGGTACACCTCAACAATCCAATTCTAAACCTCGGTTTGCATTCACGGTGGGAGAGCAGGTATTTGGAGGAATCTCTGATGGTAGTTTCAATAGAGAACACAACAAGCTCGGAGCAAGGTTGCTCACGTTCGAGTCGAGGAAAACGATTTATAGATCATTGAAAAACGCTAGCCTTTTTTTTTTTTTTTTTTTTTGAGAAATCCAAAGGGAAGCAGTTTTCTAAAAAAAGAAAAGAAGAAATAAATCGTGATCTTCTAATTCACCTCTCTCTTTTGAAATTCATGATTTGTTGAAGTTCAACAATAGCCTGGAACAATTGCGTTGAGCATTTTTATTACAATGGAACGCTCCAAGGAATCGCGAGTGGGATCGTGAGAATAACAGTCTCCCTTGGGTTGTCCCTGTTTCGAGGAGAATTTTTTAATTTGGCGCCCAGCTGGTAGTAATCCTCATAGATTCTGCTCGTTGGCAGAAAAATAATTAGATTTTTAATTACGGAAGATGATCACTCTCTCCACTTGTACTCCCGGGGTCGCTCTATAGAAAGAGGCACAGTACCCTCCTTTATTAATGGGGAAACCTGATTAAAAAGTTCAGCTCTGTCGATTCTCTCTCTCTCTCTCTCTCTCTCTCTCTCTCTTGAGAAGGGAATCTGCTATTGTCTTTGAAGCGACGTAGCACCAACGACGCAGGCTTCCATAGTTCAACATTCATCGAAGGAATTTCCAATACAGCGTAGTCGGCTCAATTGAGCCAGCTTTGACAACAAAAGTCGAGCCTTTGGCTGATTGAGAATGAAATACCGCGACCACGGTAACGTCGAGAGTACCCACTTCAACAGACGCTTGGCGCCGGCGTGCGAACGCAATTTCGCTATATAGTTTCTTGTTCGCGTTATGTTCCTCGGTATGTTAACCCTTTTCGCGGTATGAACGTACCGTGGATATTAATTCGTTTAAGATTCGAACGAGATGATCTGTATCCGAGTCCTCGTATCTGTTTTGAAATTAGTTTCGTATTGGGTACCAAGTATCATCTGGCATCTGATGGTAGTACCATGACAGAAGAAATTTGATTCGAACATTTTTTAATTTTCTAGATAATTACATAATTATTCTGCCTGTCGCAAATGAGATTCATGGTCGCATTAGATACTAGTAACATTCCTATGTTAGAACACGAGTAAAATAAACGTTAAACGTGTCGGACTTTTATGTTCATAAATTTCACTCTATTTTTGCATATTTTACGTGCATCGAGCATCGCGGCCAGTAATTCTACTTGCCGAAAGTTCAATAATATTCCCCTCCTTCGCCCCTCTTCGCTCGGAAATGTCCGATAATTTTAAAAAAGAACGAAAGTTAAAATGACCTAACTAACGAGATTTGAGGAATTCCGCTGAACGGCACGTTTTCCATTGTGGTTAGATCAAAGCTCCCGTTTGCTGGGTTCTCACGCAAGGACAATCATTATCCCTGTGAAAGAAGGAGCCAGCGTGCGATGGGAATAAGTCTTGCAGGACCTTTCTCTGAATAGGGCCGATAGGGTCGTACAAAAGATTTGCCCAACGAAAAATATCCTTCTAGCTATTTCGTGTTTCCTCGGGAGATCCTCCGAACCGATTACCACGAAAAAAGATCCGGCGTTAAAATATTACGTCTTTCGAACACGAAAACGTTCGGCTTGCCCAACTAAAGGCAAGTGCAATTTAACATAGTATACGAAACACTTTCGATGAAAGGAAAAGGGAAATTCGTTGATCTCGTTTCAAAGCCTGCACTTTAACAAGATTGAATTCGTTTTCTTCAGCAGGCGGTAAAATAAGGCTACCTTTATCCTTAGAAAAGTCAAACATTCTTAGAAACGTCGAAAAATTTTATTCGTTGTCGCCTTGAAGAGTGAGAAATTTTCCGTTTACTGCACGATTTTTCACAGCCATTTTATCGAATTCCTGTACGGTTAGGAACTCCCAAATTTTTGTCACTTAACATTCAAAATTGAATAAAATGACAAAAAGGAATCGTACGACAGATTTTAAAGGCTCGTTGCAAAGGGGAAACATTCGATCTTGGAGATCATGGCAAGGAGAAAATTTTTCAATTAATCTTTCTTGTCGTGGAACAACCTTGAAGAAAGTTAAACGAAATGAAGGAAAAATTAGGAAAAAAGAATTCAACGATACGTAGAGAAAACCGTAGGTCTTAAAAATGAAACAACTGTAAGTTCCCTTCCTCAACTGATTAATCTCGAGATCTAATCTAATCATTCGAGTCGTCCAGTTGAAAATTTTCAAAATACACCATACCATTTCCCCCCGTTAACTCGTCTCTCTCTTTCTCAATTCGCCTGCCATACTATCGCTAGCGTACTATCAGTGACCGATTTTAATTTTACAGGCCACACCGGCGAAGGTGGTTGCTGCAAGAAGTACGTTGTCCTTTGTTGCCTTTGTGGTGGGCTGAGCGCTGCGGTCGGTAGTCTCTTTTTGGCGGTACACGCGGTCCTTTCAGCCCACACGGCCAGCTTAGCTCTCTTTGAGACTGTACCATCTTACATTCCTGGCATAATGGTAAGAGGCAAAGATCGGGAGGAGTCTATCAAGCCGATCTCCTTTTAACGAGACCGCGTACGTTACGGAAACAATGGAAGCAAAAAATGTTCCAACGAGCAAGCCGAGAATAATCATGTGCGTTTTATATTAATTTTCCAGTTAATTCTAATGGGTCTGTTCACGATGCTACTCGCCAGACGGAAACACAGATACGGACTTTTGGTAAGAATTTTTGTCTCAAGGTGCAAATCTCTTAATTGACGCTAGAATTGTAGAAGAGTCACTTGTAATTTTTCGCAGGAGACAATTCAAGAGGTGAATAGAATTATCGTAGATTTAATTTCTTGAAATTTTTGTAAAATTCATCTCATTCACAGACTTGATACAAAAAAAGAAATAGATTCTACTCACAGTAATCGTTATCTACTGCAAGGAGAATCTGAAACGAGAGTTTTCGTTTAATTCCGACAGTAACAGATTAGAACAGTTCCCTCTTTAAGAAACAAACGAGCCAATAATCCCTCTTGCAGATGAAAGTTTGCGGATCGGTCGGAGTAGTGTGCGCTTTAGTATGCGTGTTAGTCACCGTTACGACCACCGTGATACACATGTCGCGGCTGCAGGGCCTTCGCAAATGCGTTTACACCGTCAAAGCCAGGTAAACACTGCCGTCTATTTTTGCAGTTAGTACACGAACTTCCATAACAATAACAATTCAATGACAATTATCCGCGTGTCAGGTCGTGCACGTGTTACGGAGCGCCGGAAGGAGACCCGGGAGTGCTTTTCGAAGGCACGCCTCATTGCGAGGCGGTTCACGGCGCTCTGCACGCCTGTCTCAGAGCGCTGTTCGGAGTTTCGGTGGCCGGGATCTTGGCTTGTATATTCTCGTGCATGCTGGTGTACCAGTTGCTAAGTCACGAGAAGAAGAAGATGTACTGGGAGCAGTTGGAACTCCGATGCAGATCGCTGTACGGGCAGGGAGGCACCGTGGGACCGGCGACTGGTTCCTGCGGATGTTGCAACGATTGCGGCGGTGCCAGCCCTTGGTGGGCGCAGACTCCCGGAAATCTCTACACGCCGAATCCCGACTTGGCGCCATCCAGGTTCGTACGGAGATTTTTCTTTTATTGCCAACGTTTCGTTTCGTTTGAAGTGTCTTTGCGAAAAGAGGAGTTTGTGAAATGAGTAGAATAATATATCACACAGATGTGCAACTCCGCTCAAAAGTCTTAGGACAGGTGTGTCGTATTTGTTTCATTGAAAAACTTGCATAGTACTTCATCTCAAAGTAATTGCAAAGTATTAAACGTAGCAACATTTATAATTATAATATAATTACTATTTCATTATTCACAATAAACAATTGTAATGTATTTTGTGAATGTATATAATGTAATACATATTATCGTAATTTAATATTTTATTTCGCGAATTAAGTATATCTATTATACTTGTCTTGAGATCTTCTTCATTTATATTGCGAATTCATTTATTTCGCGAATTAACTAGTATATCTAATACACTTGCCTTGAGATCTTTTTCATTTGTTATTGCTGTAATTTTTCAAAATTATTTTTGTTTCTCACTTGTATGTTATACCTATGTTACATCGCGATCGCTCTTGTGTGTGAAATCAGTTCTTTCTCAGTCAAATGTCTCACGATTGCTGTAAATCACGCGTTACTTCTTCTAAAATTGCAAATCTTCCAGTCGCGAAATTTCTCCAATCGATCCAACGCGTTCTATTGATTCAATGTCAATGCATCGCGGAAGGCACGATTGAATTAACATCATTTAAACCGCCTTCGTAAAAGTTGCATAATAATAGCCGCTGTTACAAATTCAATGCTCGGCCACTCGGCGCTCGATAAACTTCATTGAGAAATTATCGATGGGATTCAAATGCATCGCGCGCGTGCAACATTCGTTCGCGGTGAGCAACGTAACGATACATATTCAATAGATTTCATTCACGAGTATCACGAATATCGGGACGTTGAGTGCAATAAACTCGTAAACGAGGCAACGATCCCCGAGGATCGACCCCAGGATCCACATTGTATTCCGGTAATCCGCTAATGTATGGCATTAATTAAACCTCGGGATTCCGTCCCGCTCCTCTTGACATTCAGACCGCTGGTTTTCTTCGTCTCGGAAATAAATTATGACGGACGAGCCACGGCCACACGGCTCTTTGAAGTTCAGCACCGCGGCCGAATTGATTCGGCGAAAAAATTTCCGATCATGTTCTCTTAATTAATTCGCCCGGCCATTGTAGTGTGTATTTTTCTGCGAGATATTCAGTTCTGTGAGAAAAAGAGACTCTTCTCACGCGGTGGATGATCCGTTTCGTGTCCGTTTAAACGCACGCTCTTTGCGCGAATAATTGGTGATCGGTGATTTTTAAATTGAGATTAGAGTAACAAAGCTGCGAAACTTCTTGTGTATCTTCTCGTTAAGTGTTTCTAGTAATTTTTTAAATTTAACGATATGTTAACTGATGTCATTGTAATGAGGTTTAGAATTTTTCTGCTAAACCTTATCGCAAAGAGTGCAAAAGACACAGAATGAAATCCTGAATTTTAGTAAATCATTTATAATCCAGTGAGAAATGTAAATTTGAATTTTTGAAAGTCATCTTGCCAAGTTAATTAATTCTTGCAAAAGAAAAAAAGGAATTTCTCAAAATTTCTAAAATTGCAGAAGGTGGCGTCTGCCTTGGTCCAGATCGAGAGGGCCGGCACCGAGTCCAGACTCGAATTACGGTTTTCACACTCAGGCCAGACAAACGGAGGGCAACGTGGAGAGCACGAATGGCCCGTACAGTGTTCTTAATTCTCAATCGAGTGGTCCCTACTCTGTGTTGAACGCGCAAAACGGGCCGTACACCCCGAGTACGGCTTCTTACAGTGTCTTGGAGACTCCAGTGCCGCTATGGGGCCCTCCGCCACCTTACAGCGACCCTAACAGCCCGGCTAGGCGACCGCAAGTTACCGAACAAAGGCCCAGAATTGCCAAGCGAATAGAGAACTTTGAAAACAATGAAGGTGAGGATTCGGAAGCTCGTAAAAAGATTCATCAATAGTAAGAAGTTTATGTATGGATAACGAATGTTAATAGTTAATATAATACTGATAATATTCCTTAGAATATTACAGATACAAATATCAATAGTTACAGTAATATTAGTAACATTACTGCAAATATAAAATTGCAACCAGTGTTTAAGTAGTATCGCCTGGCGACAATTTTAGTCACCAAACTCTATATGATTTTGTTGGTTTCTCGAAACTGGCCATTTATCAGGTTAATAATCTACCAGCTACTTCATTTGTACCTCACGTTTGTAAAAACACATTGCCCTCGCATTTAGTAAAGGTTCTATTTATGCAGATCACAGACCACGATCCGCGAAACGGCCGTCCGACAACTACGAGAATGCCGAGGAAATCTCAAACAGCACGGATCCAGAAGGGGGCAACGAGGGTACCATGAAAGGCAGACGAACTAGGAAGCCTCTAAAAGGTGTGGAGAACAATGCATTCCAGCAGGAAGCGAATGCTGGACCAAAGCAATCGGAAAGTGAACTATACTTTGGCGATGTCTCGTCTTGTTGCGGGCCCGAGAGTAGCTTCTACGACTTGGCCGTCGAGAAGGAAGGTACTATAATATCGAAAACAACGATAAACAAAATGGGGAGAGACTAAAACACAATAATTACTGTATCAGCGATACATTGCTTGTCAGAAAACTGCAATCGTACAATTTTTTAATTGACCTTTTTCACAAAAGAAAAGACTAAATAAATTTCTAATTAGAGTTTTGCAAAAATGGCCAATAATTAACATACTTATAGTTTTCTATTTTCTCAGTCAAATTTTAACAATCCAAGAGACATATATATAATCAATTTGTGCAATATTTAACTGTTGCAATTCTTTTGGCAAGCAATGTATAACTAATAAATTAATCGTAAGCTTGCCACTGGTTCTGACCATGGTCACTGATCATTCACGCCAATTTTCACACAGGCACAGAGCATTCAGAGGGTGTGGACTACCTGGCAGCTCGTTTAGGCAAACGACAGCTGTCAAAAAGGTCCAGAATGCCTCTGCCTTTGCCATCAGACAATGGAGACATACCATCAGACAATTATGCGAACAGCGACGAGCCAAGGAGTACCAGAGGGCCATTTCTAGCGCCTGACGCTCAATACGAAGTGATTCAACAAGGCCGGTACTCCTACTACACGTCGAAGGACGACGAACAGCTTCAAGAAGGTCCCGCAACCTCCGGATACTTTAGGGAAGACGAGAACGAAAGAGGGAGGGACTACAGAGACTACAGAAGCAGTCAGGAAGAAGAAACACCACAGTGTTGCTTGAGTGACTCGACGACGTTGGACTCGGGCTGGCAAAGCGGTGAACAGCAACAGTCTGACGATAATGTCAGACCGGTTAACGTGTGATCACGTTCATCGTTAGACGAATGACGAAACACAGTTGCTCGCGAAAGTGTTAGAACGTTTGTAAGAAGATTTTACGTAAGTACGTTGTACGGAATATTTTTAAGTTTCATTAAGGCGGTTGTCGCGCAATTTTCATTAAAATCATCTTAGTTATTGTTCGAATTCGACACTGCACAGGATTACAACTTGTTTCTTCTTTCAAATTGAGACGATATTTTTTTTTTTATGAATAGATATTATACGTGAGTAGCAATGAACATCTTGTTTTTAAACATAAAGCTACACAGAATACTGTGCTTTGACGTGTTAAAGAATTTTCTACAAAGAAAAATTTCTATTTTTTTTTTTTTCAATTCTGTTCCCAGTGAATCTGCATAGAAATCCACGGTCTAATTATTAAGATTGGCTATTCGTGCTGTAACTGTTTTTTTTTTTTTTTTCCTCTTTGCCAACCTTCGAATATTTTCGTGAGCCACTGTGACTTTCAAGAAGGAGTAGCATCATATTAAATGGTAAACGAGAGAACAAAGACGGGAACCTCGATTCAGTACAACGTATGCTTTGATTTGTAGCAGAAAGAATCGCCACACGTAGTTGTTTTTTTCTATTTACATTGGAAATCATCCTCCGAGCGTTCAGAAGGATCTGCGAACTATGCCGTGTGAACTAAATAGGGAAATTGTCCATGTAGTAATACAGATATGAGTGCAAGTCGAAGATTACCGTATCCGTAATTAGAAGCTAAGTAATGTGATTTGTGGCACAGTAGCTTAAGTAAATCTTAACTGTTAGATTAAGTGGTGGGATCGCGATTCCACACGTTATTACAAGTCTGAAGAACGATTACGAAGAGATTAGACTCTACGTCAAAGTACTATTACACAATCAGTCACGAGAGTTTACGTACGTCTGCTATGCTTTTAAATATTTAAAAAGGAACGTTTTACGAGCACTTGATTTATTCATTAGTCAAAGTTACGGGACAGACGACAAAATTTGTTTGGTGAGCAGGTTGTTATACATAAATTGGAGCAAGGAACCATCAAGTTTGTTATTCGAAGTTTTACGCATTTTTTGAGAAACTTGAGATTGCAAAAATCTGCAAAATATTATATAATGATGAATATTAGGTGTAACATTTAGTAGGAAATATAATTAGAATAAGTTCTATATGCTCAACTCTACATACGTTAACTATATATATATATATATATTTCAAATTTATTTGCATGTTCTTTGAAAAAAACAATTGTCATTTTTTTAGAAATTGTTGTTAGTCTGTTAATTTTAATTAACGCGGATTAAGTAAGATCCATAAATCTCTCTGTCTCTCTCCAATTTAAATACTTCAAACTTCGCAGGCGTGTATAAATTTCTGTGACTGAGCCGTTTATGAAAAATCCTACGTAACGATGTATTTTTATTAATTAAACGATGTCGCCCATGTTGTACGTAATAATAATCGTTAGTGTATGTTGAAAAGGAACGTGCGTATAGAGAGAGGAGAGGTATTAGCGTCATAAGTTAAGTGTCAAAGAAAAGGTCTCTAGAAATGGTGGGAAAGTACGAATGATTTTCGAGAATTTTTTGTAGAAAATTCGTCGCCAGAACGGAGACTTTTCCTTTGGCGGTTCGCTAGAAACGTCCATGTACAAACGTGTGTGCTTTACTCTTGCCAATATCTCGCTAGACGTCAGCTAGATCTCGCACTTTAGACGTGTTAATTGTCGCAAAGATGTTGCCGCCATTTTCGACTAATTGATAAGTTCCATAAATTCGTTGCGCGAAGTTTGTCATGAATTCTCGGTCACTGCCATTCGAACGTTTTTTTTAATTCCTTTCTCAAAATCAGTACAAGAGGATGTACAAGAAAACGTTCCCGCACGTCCATAATTTCGCACAAAGTCTGAGTTTTACGAATCTATATATATATTATATATAAATACATATTATATATACACTCGAGATTTTACGATTCTTTTAAGGAGATTAATATTAGGCAACCAAGAAAGATGCAGGGACGGGATATATTATAGGAAATATTTTTTTATTCTTTCTTCAAAATGACACAATCTGTATAATATCTGTTATATAATAATCACGCAGCAACATGCTTATCGTACTGTCCTATTTTGTAACGTAATCGAGGACGAGAAAGTTTCATGGCTTCTTTGTGCAAGTAAAAAGTGAAAAAAGAAAAGTTTCTTCAAAATGACACAATCTGCATAATATCTTTTATATAATAATCACGCAGCAACATGCTTATCGCACTGTCCTCATTTTGTAACGTAATCGAGAAAGTTTCGTGGCTTCTTTGTGCAAGTAAAAAGTGCAAAAAAAGAAAGAAAAATTCTATTCTCCTTTGTTTCTCTTTCTGTCATTCTTCGCTGTCACAAAATATTCTTTCTTGGTTACGTAATATTTGTCACGCGTCGTAATGAATGAATAAACGCTCGTGGTCTGTGTTAGCCTCGTCGAGCTTTTCACGTTACGTTTACGCCGTATTCGCTTTCGAATGTATAATCCTGGTGGACCAAGAATAACGTAGGAAAAACGACATAGAGAGAAGAAGGGGCAGAGGAGGAGGAAAGAAAGAAGAGAAAGAAGTTGATTACAAATTAGAAATATCGTCGTTATCAGCCGTTCGTTAGATAGCACATAATGACAGATGCATATTTTATAATCGAGATTCGTAAACGAAAGAGACAAGGCCAGCTTAGGCGTGTAGTTTAACGTTGTTTACTCGATAAAGTGTACCTTAAGAGCGATACGTAGCAAGTCCGATACATTGTCGAACGATGTAACTAACAATGATTCAGAATAAAGCTTGGTTTTGTAAAGAAGTCGCGTGCCGCTCGATGGATCGTACGAATTCTTTCGAGCGTAATAAACTAATAGAAAAGAAGGATTTGGAAAATAAAGATCAATGCCCTATCGCCTTTCTTTGGATTTTCATTGAAAATTTCTTTTATAGTATTAGGAATCATATATATTGACTCGAACAATCAGTAGTAGAGCGCGGATTTTTGCGGACGCAACTTTATTAAATATTATATTCCTGATTCTTGTATATTTTTGTGTCTTTCGATTTTTACTCAAGTTTAGAAATATTATTCAGTGAGATCACTCGCGATTCTACGAAATTACAGGTGATTCTATCGTAATTTCTGCGTTTAAGAATATTCTATACGTAGCTTCATAAGTTATTGAGAAAAAGTGGTCTTTTAGATCTCGAAGAAACACTTCAGAAAAAAGTCGATCATTAACTTTTGAGTTTTTACGTCTAGATAACCACTCTTAACCACTTGCGCTGGCAACTGATTGCGGACCATAACGAGTGACCGTATATAAACCGTATACAATAATTCGTCGCTTTCTTTTTAAACTCGTCGGTATGATATCACTGGATAGAAATTATTGATTAAATTTATTATTTGTTTCGCCTGGGTTATACTTAGATATACCTAAAACTGAGAAAATATTGCAAATTCGGGACAAAAAAATCAGCGCAAGAGGTTAAAAATCAATCTTTTCCAGAAACAATTTGTTATTTCTAGTTTCAACGAATTGGTCCGAATCGATAGATGGAAGAAACGGATACGGACACACTGATTATCCCCAGGTCAACGATTTTATCGCGACCGATATGTCACTGAAACACGCCCAGGTAAGCATTTAAAGAGGAATGCAGGATCTATAGCGAGCAACCGAGCTATTGTCTGCAATTTTCTTCGCGAACTCCCGCGCTCGCTGCTCGTTGGCCAATATCTGATTGTGAGATTTCGCAACAGCCGGCACACGATCGTTGAACTTTCGCAACGTGCGCAACACAACACTGGGAAGGCACAGGCTCTCTCATCGTACCTAACATTAATTTCTACGTAATCTAGATTGATCGGCCGCGGTAGCCGGCGATAATAAAAATCGGTCGTTTACCAACCAACTCATCGGTGGCGTATTTCTATATTCAAGTTCAACCGAGCACGAACGCGATTAGAAACAGCGTATCTTGATTAATGCAACACGCGCGAGAATTATTCGCCCCGACTCTGAATTGCATCGATGGAGATCCGTCACGGAAAAAGGATTCATTTATCATTTTCTTTGCATCTACTTGTACATGGACACTTTGATCGATCTTTGGTAACGGTGTGTGCGTAAATTTGAAGTTAGAAGATATATAAAATATTCAGAGGTACAATTTTCTAATTAGAAAATATAAAAGATAAAATTTCATTTCTAAAATGTTATCTCCGTAAAAATATGAAATCATCCAAACATCCACAGTTACAAAAGATAAAATATAATTCTAGTTTAATTAAAATATTCTACTTTATCAAAAGACAAGCTCTCAAAGCTGTGTTATGCCCAATCAGGAATAATACGTTTAAAATGTTCAGAGTTTTCGTTAGAGTTTTCGCTGGATCTTTTCTATATAAAGGAAGAACAACGCAACCTTCGTTGCAGAAAAGCAGTTTCCACACACTCGAGATCCAATCTTCGCTCGATACCATAAGCTGAATCATTTAATTACCCGAGGTAAAGGAACGTGGCGACGTGAAGTTAATAAATCGCAATTAAAGTGTTTTCTAAGCTCGCGTCTCGCCCGATACGATCATCAAAGAATGAAGACCCGCTCTAACCGGCCGTTCTTCAACTTTGTGTATCATCTACTCACGCGTTTGAATCGTCCGCAGCTATGCCGTAATCGTTACGAGCTTCGTGTTCAACGATACGTAACCATCGGATTCAACTAATTAACGGAATCGTCAATAAAAGGAATTAGCAGTGAGTCGTCTTGCGTGAAACTTTATTGCCAACAACTGAACATTATAGTGCGTGATAATCGTAATTGGAATTGCGATGTCAAAACAAGTTGCAGTGCTGATCTACTGTAATAATTGTGCGAACGCGAAAAGTTACAGTGGCTCACGAAAGTATTTGGATATAGGAACACTTTCAAATGTGAAGATCGTGCGAGTGAAAATAATATTTTTGTGAACGTAACTAAAGAGATAGAATTCATATGTATATAAAAGAGAGTTCATGTTTCAGTTCCTTCAAACCTTCAAACCAAGTTAAGAAAGGAATAATTATATAACGAATGTACGTTCGGAAAAATATAATGATGAATACATTTTTCTTTTTCAATTATTAATAAAATAATTTCAAAAATTAACATATTCGATAAAAGAAGAGTTTGATATAAAAATTTGCCTTCTGTAATGTTTTTAGATAATAAGAATGTGGTACTCTTTGGAAATCAGATGATGGAAAATATTTTAAATTAATCATCAGTTATTATCAATGCTGAAAATATTTTAAATCCGATTGCTTAGTAATAATACTGAACTACAAACCACTTCTGTGAATCACTGTACTCGCGTACATTCTGAGATCGAGAATTACACTAAAATAACACGTCATAGAAACTACATGTTACAAGAAATCATCTCGTTTTAATACACATTTCAATCCTCCAGTGTTAAACTACCGTGAATATTAAATTAAATATCCACAAATAATCTCAAATTGTCTCTGTCCACGTCCAAAGTTCATGTTTCAAGATCAAGATCCTTCAACGATACGATGCGCTGCCTGATTCGCCAGAAATCTTTCCACCCTCTCTCTAAATTCTCTGCTGGACTCCGGAAGAGGTAACCTCGGCCCCGAGTTTCTCAGACCGTGCAACGCTGTCAAATTTTGCAAGCTCTCCGACAGCCTGCGATCGTGATCCAGAATGTCCGGCCTTGGTGCCGGCGGTTTCCTCTTTCCCATTGCTGCATCGTCCAATTTCACGTTGCCGGTCGCTCCATTCACGTAGCTGCTCTCTGGCAACCGATTCATCATCCCTCGGAGAGCTATTCTGACGCTCAACGCGGACCAAAATACCTCGAGAAGAGACGCCACCAGCACGTTGACCGTGAGCAAGATTTTGGTGTGCGAAGACTGACGATGATCCCTGTACCAGAGTGACATCATTCTGCTCTCGATCATTCCCAAGGACTTCTCTGTCACATTCACTGACGAACCTCGTTGCAAATTCCCCTCGTTTCTGTCATCGGTGTTAGCCAACAACTTCCGTGAACTTTCGACATCATCTCCCTCGGGATAAATCGTCGAGGTTCTCAAGATGTATCCAGAGATATTCGACATGTTGTCAAACACAATTCCAGGCGTGGGAGAGTAAGAATGTGTCCTCGAAGAGTGGTCGTAGGTTCCACTGGTATTGAAATTGTTCTCGTCGAGCGACGTAACAATATCGACGTCGTTCAATGTCGTGTTGTTCCTCAGATATTCAACGAGGTGAGAATGGTCTCGTGGCTGCTCGACGATCTTGCCGAAAGACCACAAGGAACCTCTGCTCTCGACAGCAGCCGCAATGTCGAACATCGTGGCGATAAAACAGAGAATCGCCGCCGTCAGGGAGAACAGACTTCCGTAGAAGAAGATGGTGATGTTTCGATCGATGTACCATCTTCTCCAGGCGAGCAGACCGGTCACGAAGGGAACCAGACACGCCACTGACAGGATTGGACCTTGAAGAGATAAGGCCAGGCTGCCCAGCAGAAGCGAAAGCGCGCCGAGACCGAAGTGCACGAAGGACAGGCCACCGACGGTCGACGCCGAGTAACGTCGCTCTGATGGATACAACGAGGACAGAGCTGGCTGCGTTTTTACTTTTATCACGTACACGTTCTCCATTGTCGATTCCCTCTCGTGAACCTTTTGCAATACTCGTCTGACACACTCTTTTACCAACGACCGAAATTAAACGAAGAGAGTGGTTACCGGAGAGAAATTTTCAATGGGTTTGGCGAAAAATATAACACATTTGCCGAGGTAATCCATCGTCGATGGGTTTTTTAATAAATATGTGTTAACTCTTAACTGGTAGAGTCGGGCTATCGTCGACCGTAAGAATTTAGAATTTAAATCATGTACTTTATTTTGGAATTTTTCATTTACATCTAGAATCACTTCGAATCTAGCTCGAAGATTGATTCGGTCACTATAATAACTTAGAATTGTATTACTTGGTTTTGGAATTTTTGATTTTATTATTATATAGAATAGGTTACCATTATTTACAATACAACGACACTATTTGACGATTATCTGTAACTTGAATTTAGGATTAATTTACTTAACTTTTTAATTTAATCGAATTACTAATCTCAGTCGCGTAAAATGCAAAGTGTCTCAAAATTCTGTAACATATGACCCAAGCTGATGCCACTTGAGAGTTAACCCGGATACCTCGAACGAAAGTTGCTTCGGCTCTTTCGGAACCAAAGGCCAATTGACCGTGAACGAGATACAGAAAATATCACAAACTCACAGTTAAAGTGTCAATCGTTCGAAAATGAATCTCCGACAGGTAACACACTCGTCATCGAACTCCTCAAATATTCCCAACAAAGACTACTCTTAGTTTTCACCATCCTACGCTCGCAATCGTGGCCATTCGTCCATTTTGCGACGCAGAATCGCCGAGACGTTCGTTCAGACGAGAAACGGACAATAATTCCCGTGCCAGTCAATTATGCTAACCGCTTGAATTTAATTGAAATCCCCGTACCAGCGTCGCATGGATTTCCTCGTGCGCTCGGGGCACGCGCTTGTGCAATCGGCGCTGTAACAATGGAACGAGGACGAAAACCGAGGGAAAAGGAACCGAGTCTCTGTCCAATGAGCACGTAGACGCGAAACGGTAAATAGATATAACAACCCGACGTCGAGCGTCGTTGCTTCAGCTTCGTTTTTCTCTCGTCGCTGCGAACATTATGCAACAGCGGTTTGTGACTGCCAGCCAACGCAATTATCCAGCTGCACGCGCGTATCGGCGCTCTCGCCTGGCTCGGGCTTTTCTCAGACGCACGCCGTTTTCACCGGTTTCTTGCCGCTCGGCGAATTCAGCCGCGCGCTCGATTTTTCGATCTCTTGGGAAATCACTGAACCAGTTCCCGTCAGTCCGCGAGAACTGTCCGCTTTGTCACCGATCGTTCCTCGTCGAACTTGGCTCAACCTTCTCGTTGACTTCTTCCGCGCGGTTTTAATTGAGAACATTCGCTGACATGACGAACGCGAGTGTAATTAACGTCATTAACATCGTCGCAGTTGCGAGCGATTCTTTTCGTCCGCTAAACAACCGGTTGCTTCGTTCAATGATAACTCGCTCTAAATTTTCACGAACAACGCGTGTTATTCTTTGCACACTCCGTGCAGTCTCACATGGCAGCGAGTGATTCTTTTATCGTCGATTAAATAACCGATAGCTTCATCCAACTCTCGCTTCATTCTTCCCCGCGTACCGAATTTCGCGTCGAATCAAACAGCAGTCGAGCAATTGGCAATTTGTTTCATTCGTTCAAGTCTCAGGTTGATTCTTCACGAAACACGCCTTCGTTCTTCGGCATCCACTGAATTTCACTTTGCATATTATTAGTCCAGATGTTAAATCAGAGAAGATCGTGGATTTGAAGAAGTAAACTTTGGCGAGGAGAGACGACTGTCGACGAAAAACGCTTGGGTAGAGCCTGAGTTGCGAACGAAGACTAGTTCGGAGTTTGAAATTACTATGAGATCCTGAACAGAGACCTCCCACGCGGTCGGTTCTCGCAGTGAAAGGGACAACAGAGAACGACGGATAGATGAACCTTCGCGGTTGTTTTAAGCCTTCTTCACACCACTTTTCACATGCTCGTGAAACGATGTCACGCTTACAACGCGAGAAATGCATCTATCGTAACACGTTTCTTGTTGATGCAAGAAATTATGTTCGTTAAATACAGCCAAGACGCAGAATCAAGTAACCTGCAATGTGTTTTTAATGCTTTCAACTGGACTGCGGACGGTTCGTGGCAAATTCAAAGATGCGAAAAATTGCAAAATAAAGTGCACGTTGCGACATTTACTAAACCACTCGGTTAATTCAATTATTTTGATAAAAATATAAATACGCGCGAGTTAGTTATAATTTGTAGATCATCGCTCGTGAGAATAAACACATCGTAGAATCGTCACGAAGGATTTAGGCTAACCTTTATTTTTCACGGTAGAAACACAGGGGATTGGCACCCGACCTTTTCTCCCAAGCTCGAGCCCACATACTATCATTGATACTGATCAATCCAATTCAATAACAATCGTGTGAATTCACCGTGTAATATCTTTCGCGATGGCACGAGATAATATTGCTGAGTTTTCAAATAATATTTAAATATCGATCGTCAATCATCTCAAGATTTAATCAGATTTAATGAAACACTACTTTATAAAAGAATTAACAATATTACTAACTCGTGACTAAATCTTCTTGGAATAATCTAGAAATAAATTCAATTAATCTCTGTAATTCGTCTTATTTCTATCTCAAATGAAGAGTTGCCATATAAAGAAGTTTTCCATTGACGTTCATAGCGTTTCACGTGAAGACAATTCCTAGCAACAGAGATTAATTAATCTGATTGCGCTGATTAAAAGGGAGACCAATAAAGATTATTACGACCGGGAAGCAGAATATTTTAAATACTTTTTGTATTTTATTTTTCAGTCTTCTGCAAACAATACCCTATATCGTATGGTAAAAATACTACATCAATGGTTGAACATCAAAGTGTTTAATGGGGAAAGGTTCGATGATTCACAGTCTAGTCGAAGCCACTGACAAAAGAGGATCAAAAACCGACACGTTTCGGCACGTGTAACAAGAATAACTGGGCACGTGTGTACTCCTGTTTTTCAAAGCGATTTCCTCGCGAGCAATTTTAGTGCCACCACCAATTTTAGTTCATTTGTTCACGAATTAATGATTTGTTGCACGTTCAACCACGCTCTCTAGCTGTGGGAAATTTCCTTATTTTTCTGTATGAAATTACAGACGAAATTTACGTCCTATTTATTAAAAAATAACCAAAAAGAAAAAAAAAGAGAAATCAAAATTATACGAAGAATTAAATGACACTTTGAGATTATCAAATGATAAGAAAATAATTGTAAAAATTTCAATTCTTAAAACGAGAGTTAACTTAACATTTGCCGCAAGAAAAGAGAAAAGCTCACTTTCTCGATCTCTAGAAATAAAATTCTTCACTGATAAATCACTCGTGCGGAAAATCTGCTACGCTTTCCTGGAAACTGATCGCGATCCCGCAGAATAACGACGAATTACTGTTTAATACGGATAAAACGAAATGAGTTCAAACGAAATCATCAATTCAACTCGCTTAAAGAAGATATTATACTAAAGACATCGTTCAAGACGATAATATATTTTCTCGTTTCATCAAAATAGAAGCAAAATGGTACTTTTTCTGCCCTCGATTCCTTATTTTCATTACAGCACATTCTCTCAAGAATTCCTGCAAGCTTCTCGGATCTATGAAAGAACAGATTCCATTCGCTCATGCATGAAAGTGCTAGCTTTTTGCTAAAACTAAGCCATTTAGGTTACTATTGGGCCTCGACGGTTATAGTTTTCTTGAAGATAATGTTGATCGAATTTTGACAGACAAGGGAGGACACGTGTCGGCGTTTGAAATAAAAACTTCAATAAATTATGAATGATTGTATCACATAGTCGCGTCTTCACCGAGCGTTAATGTCTCCGCGCACGTGATCATTTCCTCCAAAAACTCTCATCGGGGACTCTAATTTGCGCTCGGAATTTTAACGCGTCGACTTCCTCCCTGTTCCTCGAAATGACTTTTCGTCCGTTAACGTGACATTCGCCTGCACGTATGAGCTAACCGTGTATTTGGTGCATGAAGAGTGAAAGATAAAGAGCGTATTTGTGATCGGAACGCGTTTGTATTGGAGCAGCTGTTACGATTGGGGCACGCGTCCCAACGGTCGCAGCAGCTGCCCAGAAAATTGTCTATAGTGCCTTCGACTGAAGTTCTTTCGTGATGTTCACGCGATAACGCTTTTTTTTATGCATGTACATTTAACTACTGACACGAGAAGAAACAAGTTATCAGTTAATTGTCGCTAGTTTCGTTCGATTCGAAAATTCGAAACATTCGGTATTTTTGCAATACTCTATCGAAGCGATGAAATAAATAAAATTATCAAAATGTGGATACATGGGTATGTGACTTTCGAGTCACACGATGTTTAATGAATAAGAGAAACATCAATTATAAATACTCAACAAGATTTCTTGAAATTCTACGTATGTATATACTTTTTGGTGGCGACTTTAAGTGTTGCTTTATCATGTTGGAGTTGTGGAGTATAATTAATAATTTAAATCGGTAATTCCAAAATATTCAATTATTCGATTGACAATTGTTCGCGAAATTAATTTATAGAAACTTCATAATTAAATAAATTAAATTGCAAAGAATAAGAAAAAAGTTTGTAATAAGAAAAATACATTCAACCCTCTAAAACCGTACCACGTATGTTGTAAATCCATCGAGCTTTTACGAGAAATTACGAATCGATCATTTTAGGTATTTCTACCACTGAAATTTATATGGAATGGTATTTAAAATTTAAATGTCATGGCGGAGAAGGGATCACCGCACAGGCGATATAAATTCCTTAACATATTGTCGAGGGTAGAAAACGTTAGAAGGAACGTACTATATACGAAAGGACCCCCACCCTCGGTATGTGACACCAAGTTTTATATTATGTGAACCCTCTGACAACCCCTCAGGTAATACGTCGCATATACACACGCGTGTGCGGTGGTAACGCTCGAAGAAACGCCCTTCGTGCATCTGCTCTTCAGGAAGCTCGTGTGGCAGTTCGTTGGAAGCAACCGTACCGTACAGATCGAACGCATTTCAACATCGGACTTTGCCCCCGCAACAGAGACTCGGCCAGTTTCTCACGCCAAAGTGAAGACAAATTTTCCACAGTAGCGGTGTATCGAAGAAATAATGGAAAAAGTTTGAAAGTCAGTGTGTTTCGCGACTGTTGTGAAACGGAACAGAAAGAAGAAAATGTGCAAGGTACACCGCACTTCCACGAAAGATATCGCCTCGCCGCCTGTACAAACGGTAACATTCTCCCTCGAAACTTGGACATCGCCAACCTACGTCAGCAACGTTTTCCTGATTGTCGTCAATCGGAAAAATAAATAAGTGGCAGAATAAAATAAAATTCTTCGGAAACCACGAGAACCCACGTTCTAAATGTGCGCAGAGATCTTCGCGCGTGTCTCAATAAAGTTTACTCGCTCAACGAATTACTAAAACATCGGACACCGAGTAAAGACTCTGAGACCAATAAACGAGCAATCTCCAAACCCCAATCTCCAGAAACTTTGATGAAAATTGAACGAAACTATCCGAGACGATAAAATGATGGCTCAAACGACAGAACCGAGTCCGGTGCACTGTTACACGAATCCCTCGTTCTGCCGACAATCGGAATACATACCGGAAGACCAAACTTCTGATCTACCGCCGCCGCCTCATTTCCAAAACAATGACGAGCTACCACCACCGCCTCCGCCGTTGCAGTTGCAGTACAACGGTGGTCAAAGCAACCCCGCGTTTCAAGAACCAGGCGTGGAGGGTAGGATCGAGAACACGGATAGCAGAGACAGATACTGTTACCTCGAGGCTAACAGCAATTCCACGCATCGAAGGTATGGAAGCGTTCCGGTGGATGGACATCGCGCGATGTACAATCAAAGTTCAAGGTACGAGTACATACAGGACGAACAGAGGGGTCAGATACAGAGGAGGGGTTCGCTGAGGTACGAGTTCATTCCACACCAGCAGGTGCAACAACGTTCTGCACCGGTGACCAACCAAGACGACGGGCGGGAACTGCAGATGCAAAATTGTCGGAACAACAGCGGAAGATACGCCGTTGTACCGGGTGATCCGGATTATCAGGACGAGGAGACCGCGTGGAACACGTCGCAGCGTGTTTCTACGACGCGGAGGCATATCAACACGCCACAGGGTAGGTTTATTGGAATAGTAGATTAATTGGTGGTAAATGTGTCTTGGAATTTTAATGAGATTTTCTCGTGACTGTGGTGTTAACATCTTTGTCGGGTAATGTTCGTGACGTTTCGGATGAAATTCTGATAAAAATGAATATGCAAAGCAACGAGAATTTGTATGAAAGAGATTAGCAATGCCAACTTTTTAAAAAGGGATGATGAATTAACTTGTCATTGGAAAATGCTTCTTCGATGATGAGCGCATCATCGTCTTTTGTTAAAGATACTCTGCTACGTAAAATAATTATTGCACTGCGAGATATTTCGTTTAGATCTCAAATGCAAAGGAATTAAAATAGCAACATGTTACTAGGTCGTTACGCTAGAGTGCCGTTGCAAGAAGAAGACCCTCCAGCTCTGCCGGAACGAAACGCCCAAGAACTATCGGTTTCCCCGAGAAACAATTTAGCTACACAAAAACTGCACGAGATATTGACCACTCCGAGGAAGCCTCGATCCAGATCCGAAGAGAGAACTCTATCCCCAAAGAGACAACATTCGTTCAATCAAACCGGCACCCCACAAAGAAGAGCACTCACTCCGGGTGGTTCCCCAACTGGTACACACGGTTTGGTGTTCGGCAAACGTTTGCCTTAAAAAATATCTAAAATAGAAGAAATATCTTAGCGGGTCACATACATAGATCACAAACTGAAAGTGGAATTGTGGAATGCACTGCATTTCAGAATTTAAAGAACATATATCGTGAAAAAATCTAAATCACTACAATAATCTTTATTTATTCTAACTTTAGATAATCTGTAGATATAAATAATGTTAAATTTCATGGAATATAGGTCGAACATTTAGTCCTACGCGTTCCACGCCTCAAGGAACACCACACAATCGTACATACTCCATGGGACCTCAAACTTCCACCCCTAACAAAGAGCCATCGGCGCGAAGGTGCTTGCCATTATTAGAAAACCCGTCTCGACAGCAGGATGTCTGTCCAGCCAGCAACTGTGGGAGACTACGATACATTGGCACGGCTCCGGTTGACCTTGTAACGATGGGTCATGGTGACCCACCGCCTCGTTACGCGTACTTGGAAAATGGACCAGAATCTATGCCAATGGTATCCGGTTCACCAAAGTATCAAGTGATACCAGCAGGACAGAAAAGAAACGCGTACCAAAGCATAGAAAGTGCCTTTATCGCTAGAACCGCAGTGGTAAGTAATTATATAAGGTTCAAACGATTTGCAGAAAATTTTTCTAAAAATTGTTCAATTTAATTTTTATCAATATCGAGGTTATTATTGAGATAGTATCTCGTTATTCGATTATGTAACCGTATAACAGAGAATGAAATGATGAACTAATCGTGTGGTTTATCTATATAGGTTCCACCACTGTCACCACCGAACAGTGACGCAAATACAACCTTGGCTAGCGGTTTGGAGAAGAACGACAGAAGAAACGCACCGCTCTTGTTGGTCTTGGTTGGTATTTTAACATGCGGTTTGGCTTTGTACTTGTCTTGGACGCAAGGAAGAAGGTAATTACACGCGAATAAAAAGATTTGTAACTTTTATCAGGGACTAAACGGATATTCATTTGCAGATATTATTACGACAGTGCAGCAGGTTGCGGGGCCTGCTGCGCCCTAGCTGGCGCTTGTAGAACATTAAGAAAGACTTGGACAGGACTTGGACTCGCAGGATTGTCGGCACTAAGCTGTGCAGGACTTCTGTTACTCGCTGCCAAATCTCCCAAATCTGGCACCCCTCTGCACGATGTCACGGCTGGTGCTTTGTGCGGAGTTTCCCTCTTGGGTGCTATTTTGGCGCTAATCGCGCTTTTGTCACCAAGGTGCAATTTAGGACGACACAGAAGAGTGCATTCTTGGATTCCTCGACTGTCACCCTGACTCTTACATTCAGCTTGTCTCTTGCGTTCTTGAAATGTATAGAATACGACACACCTCACGTATTTGGGTGTATAAATTGTTTAATGCAAGAATGATGGAGGTGAAAACAATTAATTGCTAATAATGAAATAAATTAAAGGTTCTATACAATACAATGCAATAATGTTAAAGAATATTAAACATGTTATAAATTAATTAATCTATATCTCCAGCTAGTTCAAGTAAAAATGTCTCAATTCAAGTTTAAGACACGTACACAGTGTGACAAGATATCTGAAAATTGCCAAAAATTCGTGAGATGTGTCTTATTATATACAATTACTATTAACTTTTACACAATGAAATGTTGTCTGATCAGACATTGAAATCCTAGTCTGCTGTTTCATCGACGGTATGAATGATTATATAGAAGTAATGTTGAGGGAGTGTAATGTAAGAAAACAATTTATGCTCATGATGTATTATCATCAGACTGCGAATGTTTACGCGTTTTTAAATTTTTATAAATCAAACCAGAAAAATATATATATATATATGTATAATACATGTAAGTATTCTTGTCTAACTTGAAGAGTGTTCTATTTTGAATATTTTATATATTTTTGCACATTCAAAGCATTTTTTCATCTTTAAGTTTCTAAGAAACGCATAGATATCCGCATTATCTTAAGTGAAACAAATTCAACACGCGCTCCTAAAAATTATCCAATGCTTTATATTTTTGTAAAATCTTGTATATTTCATTTTTTAAATAAAAAAATTTCCAATAATTCTCCTCAAAAATCTTAAAACAAGTGCTATATTTGTATGATATTCACAATGTGGAAACGCGATGCAAATATTGTCCAATTCATTAAATCATTAGAGCTTTTATCACCTAAGATTTTACTTGTCTATGAAATAATTTATCAATTTGCTATATATCAAAATAGTCATCGATTTCAAATGTATAAAACAGATAATATATTTCTTTCAATTAAAAAAAGAGAAAAGCTCATCTGATTGGGAATCCTACGAAGTTATTTAATAATATTCTATCAGAAAAAAGGTATTTCAATTAATAAAAGCAATACCGATTTCGTCAAATCTTTAGTAATCATCATTATAAATAAAAAGTTATTATCTTTTGTAGATAAATTTGCAACGTGTACGATGCATATTGTTGTTTCAGAAACAGATGGAATATCTGTATAATGAGTTTAATTGCTTGAAGATTTATGCAAATTTCACGTGAATTGAACATGGCTGGCTCGATTCGTTACACAAATCGATTCGACTTCGACAAGACGTGATCGTTTGTCTAATATGTACATCGTTCGAACACGGTTACATAATTGCTTAATACTAAAATCCTCTAATCTTTTGATTTTTACATTTCTTCCTTACTTTTGTGTGTCCAAGGCAAACAGTTTTCATTCTCACGGATTGTATCGTGATACATCGTAATATACACATGCATCACGACCTCGTCATAGAATGATTATTTCCATACTACAAAGTACATACACATATCCTTTATAGTTTATACAAAGAAGCATTTTCCCCTCGTTGAATAATCGTAATAACAGTTAATGGGAATATAAAAGTTCGACGGGGGTATTAAAACGTCAATTTGAACCGGCGCGCGATAGTTTACCGAGAAAAATATGATTGACAATTATTAAAAAAGTACTTACAAAATTCGAGGATAAAGGAGTCACCTGTCGCTAATGGCGGTTGATCCGTTTGAATTCGTACCGTGTGCAACGTACACTGATGACGTCAGCATTCATGTTTTCGCGCCAAATTTCAGCAAGTGGAATCGTTCTATTTCCGTCAAAATTATAACACCGACAGGCATGACATTCGTACTGAATGATAAAATGGAAACCTCTCGCATTCCTGATGCGTTTTCGGCGTGTTCTTTTTTTATCAGAACTCTCAAGACGTTCAAATACTGCAAATTGTAATCTCGACGATGTATACAATACAGTGTGAAAGTGAAGTTGATAACTTACGCTTTATGCAGAGTGCATTGAACTTGTCGCAGGATTAAGAAGCACCATTCTTTGTCTTGACGATAGTGTTAATTGAATAACACGGAATATGATTGCAGGAACGAGAAAATATGGAAAAAAGAAGGAAAACAGTGAGGAGCGTGGTGTGGCCGTGCTTCCCTTCCTCCAGTCGGCAAGTTACTGAAACGGCCGTGAGAGGGTGCGCCAGTAGCGCCGATAATTCGTAACCACGAAAGGTATAAGTCGTTCTCCTGTAAACGTCCGTCGCCGCGAATATTTTCACGTGTGTTTCTCTGCTATTTGTGTATCGTGGTTCGAGCGTCGAGCGTCGAAAGGTGTGGCTGACAGGGATGTACTCATTTACTGTCGGGTGAAAGAACCAGGCCGAAAACAGTTGTTCGAACGTGTTACTCTCACAGCAGCAGGTAAGAATTTTCGTCGTCTTTGATCAGTGCTCGTGTAGATAACTTGTACGCTTGTTTATTTGTCGCGATCGTATCGCTCTTGGGGTAATACGTCTCATCCTCTCCTATCGATTTGTTTTGTTTGACAAGCGCGAAAGATGCGGAGCACGCGTGTCATGTCTCGATTCAAGGCCAGGGAAGACATATTGGCACGTGAACAGAGCCTATTAAAAAATAGACCTGCCCGACCGAGGGAAATCGTCACGTTCGAATCGATCGGGAATTATTTACAAGTTTGCGTTGATTATTGCTCGTTCATCGAGTGCATTTGTCTTGAGTTTACGTGCGCTGCGTCACACGAGCTCGCTTGTTGTTCCTTTTACGTTATATAAGGAACACGCTTTGCGCGAATGTGCCGCTGCCATTTTTGTTGACGTAATGAGGCGCGAAATTTAACCGACTTCTGTCAGTACAATACGTACCAGGGTACGATCTTTGAATCGCTCAATCGTTTCTCGATGTTTCAACAGCGACCTTTTCTGTATTTTATTCGTTTGTTCGCTGATAAGTTTCAAAGATAGAAGAGGTCTATCGAAAGAGCGAGTCAAGCGAAATTTTTATCTAAGATCTGGTTGCAAATCACATGTTTACACGCGCACATTTTTCTCACAACGTGTTTTAATAAAGCTCGCTTGTTCATCGTGTTCTTTCATCGTGATGCATAATAAAATTATCAGTCGTCTAATGACCATCTTTAACAATAACCTCGTATTCGCGGCACGCTATTACGCTATGAACGTTTTATAATTTAATCTGCCCTGTCCACTCATTTATCCATTCACAGAACATCCGACCATGGCATATTTTCCTCCCGCTGGTCGGCTAATACACTTTAAGATGCGACTTCTCAAGCAACATCGTCGAACTACGTTCTCGACGATTCTACTCGTTCATCAATTACCGATAATAAATATATTCATTTACAAAAATAACAGCCAAAAGTGATTGCATTTTGAAATGATTGTTTCATCGAGTTATACCATTTCGTCTCGAGGCTATTAACCTATAATGTTAGAGATACAGTTTCTTGAATTTTCACAAAATCATACAGTCTAGATGAAAGATATGACGACAACAAAGTATTAAGCAAATCCTTGGACTTTTCTTTGATAGCTTCAATATTTAAAAAAATAGAATGTAAATCATTCAATCAAAAAGCAACATTTAAAATCATATTCTAAAAAGTATGAAGAGGATGAAAGATCAGATAGAAAGATAATTTTGACACAGCACGAGATCGAATTTCAAAAGTACTCTCATACTTATCTTATACTCTATTTATTTTATTTTATGCTTATCAAATATTTTCATGTTCATTTTTATCACTCCCTCTTACAATTCTATATTTTGTTTCTCAACACCGATAAATTTCTGGAATTCCAAGCGCGTGTCCCAAATATTTTGTGGGTCGTTCGATGGCCCAAATTCGTGCCAGTGTTTGGATATGTCCACGAAATCGTATGATTCCAAAGCGCGTGGTTATCATTGCATCGTCAGGTTTCACATTTAAACTAAAAAGCGATGATCGACGTGGCAACAAAGACCCTATTTCTTCTGTTCGCGGATCGACGTCGTACAATTGCGCCTAACTCTGACAATCGATCCGACCGTGGCCCAACTTGACAGCAATTTAAAATCGCTTCTCCTCCTGTGAGCCGTACCAAGTGCAACTGCCATTCTCTCCCACGAAACGTCACGTAGACCTTCTTCCGCTTCTTTTACCAGGCGTTTATCATGCGAACACGTTTAACCATAGAATAAGAGAATAACGTAACCGAGATCGAGTTAAAGCTTTGAGACTCACCGGAAGACATCGAAGATAAAGAATAAAAAAATAAGAAAAATTAAAAAAAAAAAACAAAAAACAGAAAACAGAAAACGAAGATGAATCGACGAAAAGTGAAAGCACCATCTTTTCAGGAAAAATGGCGATCACCTCGCCGAAGGATGCCAAGGAGAGCAAGATGGAAACCGCGACAAGAAGTTGGATAGCGAAACCAATTTTGAGCTCCGAATTCGTTGATGATCCGCCTCTCGAAGATGTCTACGTGGGTTTAATTGAGAAGAGAAAGGACATCTCGATTGCAATTCAGAGGATCTCTTCCATTCTGCCAGGTTTCCATCACCTGAAACGCTGTTTCTCCGAGAAGTTACTCTTGGCTCCGGTGAACTGTACAGAATTATTAACAGAAACGGAACACTCGTCCATGGAACGAAGTTTGACTGAAGATGAGCTTAAAATGGTATTAAGGGAAAGGGGATTTGACTTATCCTTGTTGAAAGACGACTTTCAGATGATAAAGGTGCCGGCGAGAGCAGCCAAAACGAAGGCACAAGCGGCGCGGCTCTCCAATATTTGGCCTCTGAACTTTCACCCAGACGTCAACGTTGAACGTCTAATCGACGGATCGGTTTTCACAGAATACCAATTGGGTCTGATAGAGAGGTACATGAACGTAGCTGTGCAAGCAGCCAGATTAGGAGCTGTCGGCAATGCGAACTGCAATGGTAGCGCGGTGATTGTTGACCCGGAGGATGGAAGAATCCTTGTGATCGCTGCCTCGAAAATCGACCAGCATCCGATGTGGCACGCAGCTATGCTGGCTGTGGATCTTGTTGCTAAACTTCAGGGCGGAGGTGCTTGGGAATTTGAAGAAAAATCGAAACAGAAAGATACTGTCACGTCGGAAACATCTAAATCTATTGATCAGAGAGAAATAGTAAATCGTCTAACTAAAGAAACGAGTATCAAGAGGAAATGTACAGAGGATGCTCCACTTTGTTATCCAACAAGCTTGTCGAGAATTAGTCTTCCAAAGGAAGAATCTTTGGAGTGCATTGTCGTTCGACGAGGACGAAGGAATAACGGTTCAACGAAATCCGAGAAGATTGCAGCAACAAACGCTGAAAAATGTGGTCCTTATTTATGCACAGGATACTGGACCTTTTTGTTAAGAGAACCGTGTCCTCTTTGCGCCATGGCACTGTTGCACTCCAGAGTTTTGAGAATATTTTACGGCATTCCGAATGAAAATACAGGTGTGTTAGGGTCCAAGACGGTGTTGCACGCAGTGCCAGGGTTGAATCATCGATATCAAGTTTGGAGCGGCGTTTTGGAGCAAGAATGTCGTCAAGCGTTGCAAGACATCGAGCATAGAAATACGAATTGATTCGCACGGTTGTCACATTTCTAACGATTAATTGTAATTCTTTAACGACAAACGATTTGTGGAACAATGTTAAAGATCGCAAGGAAAATTGTCGCTTACAAGCATTTCATTCGTTAGATTAAATCAATTAAAAATCGTCGGAGCAAATTCTGTACGCGTTTCAGTGCAATTGCAGCAAGTGCGAGTACGATTTTCGTAACCTTTGAGAATGATACCGACGAAAGAACTGTCCTTGGCATTGTCGTGAAGTAAGTTAGCCGAGTCGTGATGCTATAACATCAATGTAACAACCGGTTTATAATTTCAATCAAAAGCAGACGACGCAAAAGATCTTACACGTGGTTTAGACGTGCGTTCATCCATTATGAGGCAGATATATGTACGACCTTGGTGTCTTAGTATAATTTGCAGGAACAGAAATATCTATTCGTGGTTGTTGTTTCTTCGTCTACACGACGAGTTAGGCACTTGTGTCTATTATATTATACAATTGTTAATCTTAATCTTGAACAATCGTAAAAATTCATCTTTTCCGATACTTTCTCATTGTTGGGATTAATCCTGATTAAACGTCACAAGATTGAAGTATAAAACACAAACTTTCATTTATATATATTTTGCGAAAATCATTCAAATCTTTGAAAATGTTTCTATAAAAAATATACATATATATAAATTGATCGTTTTTCGATCATTTTGCTAGTTCTAATGTTAAACGATGAGAAAATGGCTTGGGCTTTCAAAGATCGTTCAATTGACAAGTTCAATATTTAAAAGTGACAATCACTCGGGGGGGAACTCCGAGTTTATTATGATTAAAGCGATTCTTTCGAAGCGTTACGTCAGGCTTTAAAAAAAGAAAATCCTCCGCGTCTTCGTGGAACGATTCGAAACTTCAGACAGAAATTATTATTAAGATGAATTACCTCTAGTTGCCACGAGTGATCCTAGGAAGACGTCAAAAATAATTCCCTCGTCGACGCAAGTCTATTATTTCATATAGAGCAAACTGTTGTCCGACGAACGAATAATCTTCGGTTGGAAGATCGAGATATGTACTTCGCGATAGCGTGAGGCAAGGCCGCGTGAAGTAATTCGCCGTCGGTGGTCGTTGATCTCGTCGAATCAGTGGAAACGTCGCTATCGGAGTTTCCTACGAGGAGTTCCTTTCCGCAGTCGTGCGGATCACTCGGACGTCGCGTGCAAGTGTCGTTGATACGACGAATACGCTGCTTGTTCTGCGGAGCTTTCCTGTACAAGACACGCACGGTTTAATTTGTATGGAACCGAGTAGCGCGTATAACAATGACCTCGCGGATTAACTTCAATCAGCGAAACTTCAGACGTCTAACCCCGTTGAGCTGGCCGGCTTTGCTGAACGGATGTACGTGCAAAGATGCGGAGAACAGCGCTGGAACACGCTTAGGAGAAAATGATGGTACATGGAATTAGGAAGCATGACGACTTATTTGTCAGCCGAGCTGCAGTATGATTGGCGATCCAACGTGACTTGAAAGAATTCGGCAATTGGAAAATTTTTAAAAAATTGGCGATTTTGCACACGTGTTGACAAAGAAATCTTGACATTTTATACTATGAATTATTGATAGACTACTATTTCATCCAATTTTATGAGATGAAATATTGAATTATTGAATTACTCGAATTGTTGGATCATTGTAAAACTGGATGAGAGCGGAATTTTCTATAAACGCATCGACTGTGCGTCAGAGATCTTTAACTGGACGAAATTCCTGTTCCTCGCTTTCAAATGTTGCAGTTGCGTCAGGCTCGCGACCTCAATCACAATTATGCAAAGTTTTAAATTCTTTTGAATTTTTTAGTTGCCGAAACTGCAAGATTTCGTTGTTAAAATCGGTTATTAATTTTCTGTTGTCTTTTTTTTCTTTTTTATTAATAAATGGTATATATTCTACGTGTTCGACATTTTTATACAGAGTTCTCTAGAAGCCCGATTCCGTGAACGTATATTAATCTTTGTTGTTTCAGGTTCTGCTTCCACGATATTAGTTTTTCTGGGGATTTTCTCGTCAATTTTCTGGAGACGAAGCAACAACCCGAAAGTCCAAGGATTGCAGTCTGGAAATCTGAACGAAAAGGAAACACTCTGATAAATCGTCTTTGTCTAATCCCTCAGAATCTTTATTTAAACATACTTTTCGTATAACAGCAAAAAAACTCTAGTAGTATAGCAGTTATCACCACGTCCTTCGGCTGGCACGTGGCTTCAATAACATCATCCGAAAACGCATTGACTTTCTCTCTCTTTCCTTACATTTCTTGTTCAATCTATGATTGATCGTCCAACGGAAGAGCGAAGAAGAATCTTCCTTTCTCGTAATCTCGTTGGAAGCTAAACGAAACGACACGTTGGCCAAAGTCAGAGAAATAACGTCTTACGAAGTAATTAATCCACGTGGTGAACAGTCATCTTTTACGACGCAACTGCTCGTCAAATCGACGTAAACCGTCGTCGTCTGTAATAGCAAACGGAAGATCCGTAAGCGAAACTGAAACGGTTTTGACGCAAAGGTTTTTCCGTTTCATTCAGCCAGATAGAAAAAGGCGGAACGGGTCAGGTATTTAATCGAAATTCGAATTCAGTACGTAACGATACCGGACGATTTTACGAGGTAAACCAAGTCACATTTTGCTCATCAACACTGAGTGGTTCCAATTGACGGTCGGGTCGACCCTCCAGCGTAGACACTATTGGTCAGCCTTTTAATACAGGCGGTCGCGATTGGATCAGATACCCGGATCGTTCTTAGACAGAAGACATCGCCGGAGCATTCGGTTCAAAACTTTTGACGTCGTCAGTGTCGCGCAATTTGCTGTCGGTCGACGTCGTCGCAAAAAAAGGGGTAGAGGATTCGTGAGACGTTCGCACGTCCGCAGTTTGTCTCAGTCGGTTTAAGTCGGTCAAAAGTAGCACCGAGCTCGTAAAGATAATCGAGCAGAACGATACCAAGGAAGCAATTGTATCAGGAAGTCGAAACGTTCGGTCTGCTTGGCAGCTGATTTCGGAAGAAAGGAGATTCGTTCATCATCGATATTTTCGAGACTTTAGAATATTAGAAAGAAAAAGAAAGAAGATAGAAAAAAAAGAGGAAGTCATCATCGGATAGAGCTGTGAATTTTTCGATAACGTGCGATAAACGTATCTCGACGTAACATCTGAGGTCTCGATTATTAAGTTTGAATGGCTCAAATCTACTGGCTGTTGCTCTTTGAAAGATCCTGATCGTTAACTCCACAGCTTATCGCCAGAAGATAGTAAGAAAGAAAGATTTGGAGCAGAAGAAAGAAAGTGGGGAGCTCGTTGGAGAGGAAGATTCGTGTTCTTAGTATTCAACGAAAAGGACGAATATTGGCTGACTTCTTCGAGAGGTTCACCTTCCCTCGAGTGGAGAATACTTTAAGGAACGTTGACGAACGAAACACATTGCAATTTGGTTTTACACCACGAAGCCTCGTCTTTTTCTCCCTGGATCAGATTTATCTTTCCATCGGCATCATGGAACGAAGGATCCTGAAAATGTGGTGACGACGTGACAGGCGAAGGCCTTCGATTATCGAGACACTATCAAGTGGTGTGAGCCATAGTCAGTTAGAGAAAGCGAAATCGAAGTATATATTTGTACAGTGTCCAGTGACACTCGCTGACAGTCAGTTTTTGTTAGCCGAAACGAATCCCTCTATCTCGAAAGATAATACGAAATTTCCTTCCACGACTGCTGATTTCAGTTACCCTTTACGTCGAGCGGGAAATCAGTGAACAGTTGTACCGAAGCTGAATCCGAACGTAACCAAGCTTCCGTTTCGTTGAATTTCCCATTTATCGAGGAGTATCGAGAATACGTGTCGGCAGGCAGAAAGAGAAAGAGAGAACAGCGGGCCGTCATTTCGCGAAACGCTCGAATCTCAAAGGAAAGAAATAGTAACAAGATGCGTTGCAGCCAAGGTGTGGCGATGGTATTCGAGGACGCGTTCGTCGTCTTTTCGCGGTTTCTGTCGCTCAAGTCGCGGGGTTGCGCACTCTTGGAAACGCACCGGCAACGCGAGACAACTGGCATCAAGAAATTGTACAACAGCTTCTTCGTAATGTTCTAAGGATAGCTCATCCTCGTGGGAAGTATCGGCCGTTCGTCGACGGTGGTCGAGTGATGCACCGTGCACTTCCGAGATCGTTGCCGATCCCGAAGGAAACAACGCGGAGAACGCACAAATACGGAGGACGTTTTGGTGAAAAACGAAAAAGAATCGAGAAGATCGAGAAGTGGAACGAGAAAAGAAAAGAGCGGAGAAAGAATTTGGGAAATTGCTTGCCAGCCGCAGAATGTTCGTTTATTATAGCATTTAGAGAAGCTGGAGGGAAGAAAAGTCGCCGAGTACTAGGTCGAACGAATTTCATCCATTCTAACCGAAACTCAGACTTGTAGCCTCCTCTTCGAATATCATATAGCTACCAAAGCGTTCTCCGAAGAATCTTTGAGCACTCGAGCGAAACAGGGGCGAGTAGAACCGCGATTAGAATCAAAACGATAGAGGTAGTTTACCCTGAGAAATAAAGAAACAAACCCGTCTGAGTAGGAGAGCGCTTCGAGATTTAAGGTCATTGAATGGAGCTCGAATTCATCATGGACGGCGGTGCAGACGCTTTGAATGGGACGATATGGTTTCCCAATACACCGTCACCACCGTACGAACAGCTGTCCCCGGTTCGTCAGAACAGACGTGACCCCATTGCCACTCAGCACGTAAGTTTTCTCGTAAGTGTTCTATTCCCTCAGATAATCGTATCGTCTCTCGTTGCTGGTGCTCGCGTTGGAAACGGCGACGCTTCACGACGCTTCGACGCGTTTCCATTGACGTCGCAAACAGAGGAAAGTCTCCTCGCGTATTCTCGGCGTGTTATTCAGCGTTATCAGCCAATTTCTCTCCTTTGTTCTCTCGCGCTTTGTACTCTCGTGGAAGACGCGCGCCAGCCTTCGTCGTTTGCGCAACGCGCGTTTCGAAAATCCCATCTCACGGTGATATATCGTGGTGGCCCCCTCCGAGACGAGATCCGTGAAGCAGCGCGCGTCGTGATACGTCCCGTGAACTGACGGTGATCAAACGTTTTATAGGCATCAATGGGATATCACAGTCCGCAAAATTCTTTATGGCAGGATAAGTACAACTCACCGAAGGACTCCCCGGAGGACGGTGTCCAGATACGTTCGAGCAACGAGTCACCGCAACATCTCAGCCCGTCTTCCGACAATACCCCCAATTGCCAGCAGAGCAGCCTGAAACGTCGGGCCACCGAGCCGTTGCCGCAGATTACCGAACTCGAGAAGAAACACGCTAGGAGAGATGGTTAGTATAAATATACGTTTCGACGTCCTAGATCGCATTGAAGCTACCGATTATTATTTATCGATTACTCTTTAAAAGCGCACAATAGGTTAGAGTTCACTGGGCGATCTGCTGCTAAAGCTGAGTTGGGTAGGAAATTGGTTGGGAAATATGATAATGGTAAGAATTGATTCTTCCGGTGATGATGAAAATGAAGTTTGCGCGTAAAATAGATGGTCTGTAGATTTTTCATTTTGTCCCTCCGGTTTTTTTTTTTTTTTTTTTTCTTTTAAATGTTCGTCCGTTTTAAATGTCTTCGAGTGCACCACTGTCGAGTTGCTATCACACAGCTCTCAATATAGACATATCGTTCGAAAGGTCGTGTCGAGGACCTCAGACACACAGTCGTAGGCACTGGCGAATCTAAATTCTTGCTTCACTCAATTCACGTTTATACAACAATACTGCCACACGCTTAAAAAAGAATCGCGATAATCGCTGTGGTTCGCAAAGATTCCATTTGCTACATAAAAATTGTCAGATAATGTTACGACCCAACCACCAAACAAGATTCTGTTATTAAAAGCTGCTGAATATTACATACCAGCGTTATGTAATAAGTAATACTTATATCCTAATCGAAGATATTACGTCTTGAACTTCCGTCCGTGAATGATCCTCGCCTTCTTTTGTCAAAACGTCGAAATTCGTGGTTGCATTGTAAGAGCAGATGCTGCTGCGAGGAACGTCCGGAAACTGATCCACCAAATGTGCCGTGTACGCGTTTATTCGACGCCTTTTTGACCACGTGGTTACAGAAAACTGATAACTTCCCGAGTACGCAGTGTATCGCAGATTAAATTCACCCGAGGAGAGACAGAGAGGCTGATATTAGTTGTCGATCCGCGAGAAACTACGCGAAGGTACACGCGCGTCGTTCTTATTTCGGTGGTGTTGCTCGAAAGTGCTCGAAAGTGCTCGAAAGCTTGCTCGGTTCCCGCGTACTTTGTTAAAACGATAGAATGAAGTGGTGTGAAGTGGACAGCGCCAGATTGCCGTTGCTACATAGTCGACGATATCCTACCATAAGTTGCAAGAACCGACGACAGAGCGCCGCGGTCATGGCACTCCAGGAGACCAAGAGAATTGGCGCCATGCATCATCAGTTTTACATGAATTATGCCAATGTACAAGGTTGTACGCGATGGACAGATGTAATAAAAATTAGGGAAACGTTAGGATGTCAGGTCAATCGAGAACAACATTGGTCTTACAATAAAACATACATATAGGGTTGTGAAGTAATCATGATTTTCAATAGAGTTTCACGTCTCTTCGTGAAAAGACTAGGGGAGAAATTGGACTGCTTACAATAAGATATAAAGTTTTTTAAACTTGTGGAATAATCACGGAGCAACACAGCAAAAAATCCAATGAAATTTTATAGCTTTGTTTTTTCGAATTTGTAGGATCTGTCGGGAACAATGGTAGTGGACAAGGATGGTCAACTCAAGTGGAGGAGCTGGCAGAACATCTCGCCGCCGATTTCGATGGATCCCTGTCAGCACTCGCAGCATCCGACCTCGCAACAGCCGTCGCCTCCTATAACATGAGGTAAACTCGATTCTCTTCGTTCGATGTTTCATCGAAGAAACACGACACAAATGCAAATTTAGATTAGACAAAGGTAAGTAATGAGAAGAGGAATAGGATCTGCCTCTTTTCATGAAACTAATTCCACGAAGCCAGACAGTTCGACGTCTTCAACATGCAAAAAAGTTCGTGTCTTTGGTTTTGCAAGGAACTGGATTGAAAAAAAAAAAAAAAAGAAAAAATACTGGATCTTTACTAAAGCTCGACCGATCACAAAGAATTTACTCGAGTACGAGGAGAGGAGATTTAAAGCCGATAAAGTAGGTTTCCCTAGAAGCCCATGTGCAGTGCACATTGCAGGAGCGGATCGAATCTCGATTAAAACGTGGTCGGTAGTGGGAACGAGAGTGCTGAGTAAGAAAATCCGGTTATAACCAGACACAGCTGTCGCTGTTTCGTGGCTTGGGCGGCATACCCTGAGAACTCACGTCGACTGCAGACGCTTAGACGCTTGGCGAGTGTCCGCACGTGCGTTTCTATCCCGGAGCCGATTGTACCATTTTCATCCGTCAATTTTTTCATCCACCTTTAGCAAACTGCCACAACATTCGTGTCACGATCCAGTGAAATCGATTCGACGATTTTCTTCTGTTCGTTGACTTATCCCCATTCGCACTTGACTTTAAACCATTTAGAGACGCGTTTCGGAACAAGCCTTCGTTGATCGTCTTCGCACATTTTAGATGGCCAAATTGATGATAGTCACACAGCTTACTCAACGAGAGAGACTTGATACTTGAGATACTCGATGAGTTTCCGAGTTTCTATACGATATTCGTTAAAGATAAAACGAGGTAAAAGAAAATAATGTACGAACCATTGCAGACTTTTCAATGTTAGATAACGCAGTCGATTTGTGAGAAGTCGCCCAAACGACTCGACTGTCAAGAATCAGCTGATAGAGTTACACGTGGTACGCGTATCATCGTCGCTAGAGAACATCGCGACGATTTTTCCATGAATCATGAATGAAATAGTTTAGAAAACGAACACCGTCTGACGCGTATCTGAACAGGATCGATCCGTGGAATCGCTCACGTGCGCAAAACCGATAATTCTTAGTATTTTTTTAAATATCATTCTACTTAAAATTCCGTGTATTAACGACCACTGGCTGACATCATTTAGAGTTTAAAGTCTGTGTTAAAGAAAGTAACTCTTTAACATTAGTTAACAAATGTTTACGAAAAAGATCAATAACCGTAGGTGGATAAGCTAAAAACAGTGTTTGTGAAATTAAACGTTTGCAAAGAAAAGGAAAATTGAGCTCGAAATTTCGAAAACTGTGGTCATGCATCAGTATTTAAAAAATGGGTGAGTGATTAAAATAAAGTTTAAAAAATACAGTTTCTCTTTGTGTGACGATCTTTTTTTTTTTATTTTTATATATTTTAGACTTTATATTTTTATATATGTTAGACAGTAAGAATGACAAACGATTTCATTGCATGCTTCATTGTAGATTTGTATAATTTACTATTAAATACAGTGAAAGTATTAATCAAATCAGTAATATCAATTTTTTTTTTTTTTTTTATACTCACGCGAAATTCGTACAACAAACTTCTATTTTCTATAGTACTTTATCGCGATACTACGCTGCTAACTGATATTAATTTCGCTACATTCGCGAACCAGTACGTTCCGGTTTTGGTTGACCTTAGTGACTCAATTCTTATCATAGCGGTTCTCAAACAATTCTTTCATACCTTGTTCCGTCTGAACAATTAAGGTACGTCGTAGAGATCTCGTGAGACTAATTAACTCACAATTACGACAATTTTCATAGTTTCGCCATTATGTGCGATATGATGCAGAGCGTTTGACGTAAGTTAGTTGGTGATTGTCTTTGCTCGTTTGCTCCATTAGATAAACACGAAAAGTCTCACTGATGTAGAGAGTATCTGAGGATTTTTTTTCATCTCTCGTAAAATAAGGTTTATGTAAGCACAGTGATTTCTTTCCGGTTCACGCTGGATTTCGTCTTACGATGAATTTTTTTATCTTTAAGTAAATTGCCAAGAGATATTTCAAGCGTCCCTTTTTTTCTTCACGATCATAATTTGCGAGAGATTAAAAAATTAATTGGTGTCATTTGATATTAATGCAGTTAATTTTGGAATTATTGATTGAATTTAATTTTGTTAGTAGGCTACGGATTCTTATGCAAATTCATATTTTCGCGAAAGTAAATAGATAGAAGTTCACTTATTAAATATGATAACAATGTAATTATGTAAATTTTCGTCTTATCTCTCGTAAGTTCGCAGTCTATCTATTATAGACTTTCATGACGGAAAATTAAATGGTCAAACTTTTAGTAATCTAGTTTTTAGTAATTATCGCAGTTATCTACAAATTCAATACTATTCAAACGTTAAAGATAATCGACGAGGTTTCAAACACTAAAAGATCACGCGATGTGGATCGTTTTTTTGGGGCGTTTTCTTGTTGCTTTGAAAAAGTCGATCATTATTTCATAATCGATTCGCTACATTAGCAAATAAAAAAACACTTGTTCGCGTTTCTTAGCTACTTGCGTCACGAGTCCCTAATCAATATACGTCGATAGCGAAAACCGGAGTTTGTTAGTTATTATCGGTCGCGACATCTTTCTATCGTAGACCTAAATCAATTTTAATAATAAGCGTTTCATAATGACGAACTAATCGCAAATAGCAAACACGATCGCTAAAAAGTGCAGTCAGTTAAAGAGAAACGTACTAAGTAATCGCGAAAAGTGATCTCGATTTTGCAAAATGTATTATACTTAGATTCCATTTGCATTTGCTTACCTCGAAGATTGTGTTTTATATTGGGAAATATGTATAAAGAAGGACTATGCAATGAACAAATTTTATCATGAAATTGGTTAATTAAAAACATTTTTCTATTTGCGCTTGAATGAATTTATCCATTTCTAATTGGGTATTTGTTTTATTGAACGTTTAGAAATTTGTTTCGTGACAAACTCTCTTCAGTTAATCTTGCATACATTTGCATATATGCATACATTTTAAATGACCAAATTAATAATCAATTTAGAGTGACCAGTCGTGTATATTCTACTAATCACTACTAGGTTGTGAATATTTGTCAAGTCTCTACTTAACTACAAAAATAGAAATAACTGAGATTATTTTACATGCGTTCTGCACATTGTATCCATTCTTGTGTCTCATCAATGAAATCAGTTTCATTTAAAAAGTATTACAACTAGCAAATATATATACTATTTTGAGAATTAAGAAATTTTATGCTTGCGTATTCCATACGATATAGCACTTTGAAATTTTTTCCAAAGTGGAATAAAAGAGTAATAATCGTTCGAAAATCTGTTTGCAGCGAAGCCCTGCTCTCCCTTCCATCGTTGACAGTGTTCAAGCAAGAAGCACCGTCGCCGGAAAACCAACAAAATTCCAAGTAAGTTCCTCAAGCAAGACGGCAGAACCGCTGCGCGTTTTTGTTCGCGCGGTGCACAGGGAGCATTAACCACGTGTCTAAGCGAATTCACGTTCGTTTCGTAACCGCATCCTTTTTCCATCACCTTGAACATATATTTTTTCCCCCTTTTCTATCGTTGCCTCCACCTGTCGAAGCGTTGGATCGTTAGATCGTCCCGTCACGACGAGTCGATCCTTGAAAATCCGCCAGTCAGTGTTTGATCGGTCTATTGATTGTAAACAGTGGAAGAGACGGCGGAGGGAAAGCGATCTCGCACGAAGAAAACAGAAGCGAAGCGGAATTTGCCACGAGACTCCCCCGCAGAGGCGCGCGACTGATAAGATTGTATCGTTGCGTTTCTTCGTACAATTATCGTACAAATGGCACGCAGGTCAGACCTTTTGCTCTTTACGAGGCTCCTCGCGAGCCTCAATCAGCGCGAAACGTCAGTCCGTCCGACACAACTGTGCGAAAAACGTGTTCCCTTTGAGAATACAGTCTCACGCCGGAGTTCAGCCTTTCTTTCAACATTCGCGATAGTGCAACATTCGCGTGCGGCGTCACGTTCGATGTGTGCCTCGAACGCGATTCTAGATTCCTTTGACCACGAACGTTGAATACTTTTAAAGTGTTTTGTACAACTCAAGAAGCCACGAAGTCATCGACGCTGTTCTCAGATTCTCTTCTCGGCTAATGAATTACAGCTAACGAATGTCGATCATTTTTAAGCGTTTCGGCAAATCAAGCTACATTTAGTTTAGTCGGTATTCTGGATTCAATTCCAAGTCGATTGTTTTGAAGTGTTAATCGAGTCTTCTGCCATTTGTGCAACGTGCACTTGTTGTATGCACACGCCGTGATGGACTCTAGGAATGTTTTAAAGAAAAAGAAATAAAGAGCAACGACAACACTTGGATGCAGATTCGTTAGAAAGGTTAACAGAGAAAGAAATGGAAACCTTAAGAGCGTGTTATTTCGAGAATTGCGCGAATAACAGATAAATTGTCCGCGTAGGAATTGCCCCTAATTAGGAACTCTGCGTTGTTACGCGCAACCCACACGCGAGCCCCTTGCAGCAGCAAAGTATCTCGTCGAATTGGTGAAAAACTGCCCGGCGACGACCGCGAGTTAAGTGTGATTTCAATTGGCACGAATAGAATCGGTTTCCTCCTGAAACTGATTTCAACGGCAATGAGAACTCCCCCGGACGTGATTCTCTCACCCTCGGTGTTCCTTAATTTATAGTGAGTGCAGCCCTGAGTAATGAAATTAATCGCGAGTCGCGTTCATCTCGAGGAACTCGCGAAAATTAGAAGTACATATACGCGTACACGTACGACTCTGAAAACCCCGTCCCTGTGAACATACATTCGTACGTTCGTTTGGAATTTTACATGGGACTGATGTTGTTTTCTCGTTCAATGTCTGCTTCAGTTTAAACCACGTGTCACAGAGAACAATTAATTCGGCACCACCGAACGGCACTGTCGAGGCTGACAGTAACAATAATGGGCAGACAGCAGCTAGTCTTCATCAGTTGCTTTACTCCTCGAACGAGGAGTATCCTCCGACGTCGTCCTCGGGAAATCACGTCTCGTCCTCTCAGCAGGGAAACGACCTCAACGAGGACTGCCGGTACGTCATTTATTCTGTCAGGAGTGTAGCAAAATACTCGTAGTCTTATTATCGTAGTCCTATTCCCATAACACTGTAGAGAATTTAGCTAGTGATACATGTATTAATAAAAATTTTCATTGATATACATTCCTATTGATGGATGAGCGATTCGCACATTGTATATTGTTAGAAAATTTTAAACTGCGACGGTGCGAATATTTCTGTGATTCACTTGATAGAAAATTAAATTATTCCGAAAGTTGTTGGTTTCTTATGGAATTAAATAAGGATATTCTCGATATCGATGAAATTGAGGGTGAAAAATATTGGGATATTCAATATTTTATTCTAGTTCTGATGGTGGTCGTTTCATTTATTCCGATCTCTGCAAAATTCACAATAACAAATTGAGTGTTTCAGAGGAATTATTAGAGACGAGTTTTTTCGAGAAAAAAAATTACCACGACAAGGGAGAAATTATTAAAACGAGTGAATTAATAACAAGAGAGTAACGTTTCTTATAGTTTCCAATACGTGCTTGCGGCTGCCACGAGCATTGCAACGAAAGTCAACGAAGAGACGCTCACCTATCTGAATCAGGGACAATCGTACGAGATCAAATTGAAGAAACTGGGCGATCTGTCGGCTTATCGCGGGAAAATTCTGAAGGTACTTTGTCACTCATTATCGATTTCCCCGGAATAGATTAGGGGATCATCTATGTTTGGGTAGCAACATCTTAAACAACGTGTTAGCTTCTGCAAAATCGAAATCGAAAGAGCTCATGCTGGTTGCAGTATGATTTTTCCAAGAATGATTTGTACGAAGGCAGAATTTAGCAATAATTATTATCATCATCGTTCATTGACGAATCATTTTAACTCTTCAGTCACGGGCATAATCTACTATCTTCTGATTTGTTTCTTTTTCTCTTCTTTCATTCTTGATTAGTCTTTTTGCGATGAAACTGTAAATACAAAGAAATGTGAAAATTGCCCGCAGCTAGAGGGTTAACTGCTGTCCATTATCCTTCACGCGATACCAACCCAACTGAGCTCGTAGGTCGTGTTCGACGTTCGAAAGATGTGAGTCACCCAAACGGTGCTACAACGTCTCTGAAGGAGCATGCAACGTTTTTGTTTCAGTCGACAATACGCATTTGCTTCCATGAAAGGAGACTTCAGTACACCGAGCGGGAACAGATGCTCGCATGGCAACGCGCAAGACCCGGTGAACGATTGCTGGAGGTCGACGTTCCCCTTAGTTATGGGATGGTGGACGTTTGTCAACCATCTCCGTCCAATAATAGCGTGGAATTCATGTGGGACCCCACCAAGGAAGTCGGCGTTTATATAAAGGTATACGAGATGAGGGATTCGCAAAGTCAACTCGTTTTCTGTTTTTTCTTCTTCTTTTAAAAATATTATTTTTTTAATTGGCTCAATTATTAAATCTGTCATGGTACTCCAAACAATGGAAGAAAAGTCTTCTCAGAGTCTTTTGGACATAGATTTAAAATTGCCAAAATGATCAAAATGATTAGTGCATATTTTTTCATAGAAAGTTTTGTAGACTCATAAAGGAGAACTTTTAGGGATTTTAAACCATTTTTCGTTATACTCAAATTTCTACGATGCAAGTTTGCTATTTTAGTTTGACAGTTCCAACATCTACTAAATTTTTATTCGTAAATTTCTTTCGTAATTTCTTCAAATTAAGAAATCGTCTTAGAATCAAAAAGAAAATTTGCTCGTCAGGATCAAATTCATCTGCTAGAGGTTGAATGAAATTCTATCCTTAAGATACTGAAATGATATTTGACCCTTCTGTTTCAGGTGAACTGTATTAGCACTGAATTCACGCCGAAAAAACACGGTGGGGAGAAAGGCGTACCGTTTCGGATCCAAGTGGAAACGCGACTGCCGGGAGGCCCTCGTTTACATGCTGCTTCTTGCCAGGTAAAAGTCTTCAAGTTGAAAGGAGCCGATCGCAAGCACAAACAAGATCGGGACAAGATTCTGCGACGACCGGCACACGAGCAGGACAAGTATCAACCAAGCTACGACTGCACGGTTCTTTCCGACGTAAGTGATCATTCAACACTTTTTTCTCTCCGCAAAAGTATTGACCAGTTTGGTTACTGCGTTTGATTACAGATTCCCCTAGATTCTTTATCGCCATCCAATTTGATCACGCAAAATGGAGGGAGTCCTTACGCTTCTACAGAGGCAATGTAAGTACGCCTATTAACCTTGCTTTCATTTTATTTGCTTGATGAAAAAAGAGAGAGTATTAGTCAAATTACACGTGTATGAAATATATAATCAACTTTATAAAAGTAAAACAGCATCTGATCTTGGTGTTTTTAACATTGAAAAGTAAAACGCTTAAAATATCCATATTTGTAATTATGACGACAGATAGGGAAAGAATAACTACAGAATAAATTATATAGCCGAAAAGTAAACAAATGTTTATAGTATTATATCAAATCATTCGTGTGCCAATATTGAATTTAGTACTAATAGGGTGTAGTATTTATATTATTATAAATGCTAAACTAATAATTCTGACTTGTACTCTTTGCACTAAAGATTTATTCCGTAACTTGTTTGTGCAATTACAATTTTATACATGTATGATTTTTTGTTGTCAATACGCGTGTCGAACCTCTTACGATTTTGTCTGACCTATACCGCCAGCTACTACTGTGTACCAGTATCTATGTTTGTAGATACATATTTTTTTCGTCTTGATCCTTCTTATGTAAGGGAGTAGGTTGCATAAATTACAGATGTTCGAAACGACATAACAGATCATGTAACCGTCTTTTTTTTAAATTTATGGCGGTCGTTTGTTGCCTAATTTCTCCACTTTTTGTTACTTTACGTTGTAAAAAGATGCTGCTCGGCGAACGTATGCGCGTTACAAACGAACTGGCTTATTCCGGATATCGCGAGTTTCCGTATTTCGTCTAATTAAACAACAATTTGCATTGACCGACTTACGCTGTCGAAACTGAACGAAATATGATATAATCTTGTGTTATCACCATCTTTCTTCTTGAAAATGAAACAACGTGGATCATTTTTAATGCCAAGACACTTTGCAACTTTTTTTTTTCTACCGATAATGGAACCGACAGCTACAAGTGGTTTCAACGGAAGTGATTATAAAATCCCTTTCGCTGATAATTAAATGCAAAATTGCAAGTATTTTTTGGAGCAAACACGCCATTTGCAGCGACACGATACTCTACGAATATTGCACTGAAAATCCACAGTCTTCGCCGACGATCAAATAAAAAAAAAAAAAAAAGAACGCAACCTATTTTTAAACGACACGACACTACAAATCCACGCATCAATGTCCGTGTTCGCAGAGTCGTCACATTTCACGATAACTCTGATATTGTGCATAAGAACGAATACCAATTTGGAATTGCAATTTTCCTTCGAACGTGTGCCTATTAATAGTCATCGTGTAAAGGACAAAAAGTACCAGTTTTCCTTTCCTGTGTCGTTGCGCAAAAGGAAAAAAAGTAAAGAAATAAATAAATCAACGACGCTGTTTCGTCGTCGTCTGGATCGATTTCCTCGTCGGGAGCGGAAAATTTGATGCAAGCGGAGAGAAGATCAAATCCTTTCGAGAGAAAGAGGCGGCTGGCAGGCACCAGTGCATGATGCGCGGCTGGTTTTGCTTGCGATGCAGAAATGCACAACCGCTGCGTTGCCGGTTCTCTCTGAAACGAGCGTGGGATCGGTAGAGTTGGGGGGGAGTGGAGAGGGGGGGGGGGGCACGGGACGATGAATCGGCCGGCGGAGGAGGGTACAGAAGTAGTTCGCGAAATGGTGGCGGAAAGCGTGGCGGCGATGGTAATGGCAATGGACGATACGAGGCTTGGGACAAGGTGGTGGAAGAGGAGGTGCCGGCACGGGAGTCGCGAAACTGGCTCGAACTGGCACAAGCCGGCAACTGGTAGAGTCGACAACGACGCGCCGTGCGAAAGAGAGAAAGAGAGAGAGAGACAGAGAGAGACAAGCAGAGAGACGACAAATAAATTCAGAACGCTACACGATACACGCTTCGCCGCGCAGCCGCTTCGGTTCTCCGTTTTTATCCGTCAGCCTCTTTCAGCTTTCGGTCGATCGTTTGGAAATCTTTTCGTTTCGATATTGCCGCTTGGTGAAGCGTTTTCTCCCATCTTCGTGCCTTCGGTTTCTCCTTCGCGATTACGCGTCGGTAAACGTCGGGACCGAGACACGCTCGTCGTTTGGTGAACGAGAAGACAGTCGACGTGGACGCGTGGTACCCAGTGAGGAGCCGCAGACATGATCTACCGTTGAGCAGAGCGCTCATGTTTATAAATGAAACACGGTGTGACCGGTGACTGTCCTTTCGTGTGATTCGATTACGTTCGGCTGGCCGTACTACTTGTTGGCTGATTCTACTGCTGCCGAGTCGATTGCTGTTCGCGATCGTGGTTATTCGGATCGATCGATAGAACGCGCTCTCCGTTATCGCTCGTTTCTACTCGACTTGACCACCGTGAAAGACGGGACGTGATATCGAGGTTTTCGTTCGAAGTTGAAGAGATACAGAAGGGGACGAGGCCCGGGAAACGGAAGCGTTTGGAACAAACAACGTTCAACGTGCCCAAAAGGAGACTTTAAATCTCGCGTGGACTGTGGCCAGTGTCGCAGCGATTGATCCTCGGTCGGGGATTCGAGTGCACGATGCACGGGGATAGGTGCAGCGATTCCTGCCTTGTGAAATATAATTGACCAACCGGTGAGAAGACCTCCGGTTTCGATTCGTTCTGGTGCCCAACGGGTCTACGTCCTTCGACAAATAAAGCACCGACGATTACTGCATCGACCGTAAAATTTAAAAATAAATCCCGCTGCACGGAGAGACGGAGACACACAAAAAGAGAGAGAGAGAGAGAGAGAGAGAGAGAGAGAGAGAGAGAGCATCGTGTACACGTTTCCTGGCAGCGTTTCCTGATCGATCGTGAAACGTTATCGCGTATCGAGGAGGGGAAAGGTAAAAATAAAAAAAGGAAAAGAGAGAGTGAGAAAGAAAGAAAGGTAAGGCGCAATCGTAAATCGCGACGCGTGTGATATGCCCGAGGGACCGCGACGACGATAATTTCTGCCTGGAGCGGAAGCCCGTTGGCTCGCATGCGTCGCGCACTGTGATTCTCTCTCTCTCTCTCTCTCTCTCTCTCTTTCGTGCATCCACCCTCCTGTCTGCGTAATCATAGCGCAACGACGAGCAAAGAACACTCGAGACTGGCGAGAGTTTATCGATCGGGCGTCGAATCGAGAGTGAAGCCGTTACACGCCGTTGGAATGCCCTCGTCCGGTGTAGAATCTCATTCTCCAGCTAATCGTGCGGAATCGTCTCGCGTGTCGAGTATCCTTGATCTCGAGTCGTTACGCGCCGACGATCAGATCCTGGCTGTGCGCGAGATCCTGGCCAGTAGTCAGGTGCTGCTGTCACGCCAGGATCACTTCCTTAGATGACGAGCAGCCTGGCCGCCGGAAAGCTGATGCCAGGGCGGTTCGATTCAGCCTTGAACTGAGATCATACGTATACACACGCATACACACCGCATTTACACGTCACGTTGAGTTTCCACATTGTGAAACACTTCGCTTTTCGATCCGCGATTATATTCCCTATCTCTACGATCGTGTTCATTTCGTCGAGGACGAAAGAATAAAGATAATTGATCGTTGAATTGGATGTTGGCTTTCGGTGACGAACGTCGGGAGACGAACGAGAAACGTTCGTTAATCACGTTTTCGAGCACGTAAACTGGAGGCAGAGTTTCTGCTTGGGAGTTTCGCCGATTCGAGGCCGATAGAGAGAAGAGATCGTAGAGAGAAGCGTGGCTCGCCCCCGATGCCAGCTGGATTTCCAATTGGCCGTGGAAACACACATTCTAGACGGAGAAAAGAACATGTAACGAATGTAGAGAGCCGCGTAGAGATGTGCTCGAACGATTTGTCGGTTGGCTGGTGAACGAGACCGAGTCACATAGCCAGGGATGCGCTCGTCGACGAGTGCAGCCGGCTGCTGATACTGTTGACAGCCTTTGGGATTGTTCATGAATTGCCTGGTTACTTGGCTACACGAAAGGAGAAAGAGGAGATTTCAAGAGATTTCGAACGAGGAAACCAGCAAGAGAGTGTTTCAACAGAGCTTTTTCCTCCATATCGTTATTCGTGACTTGCTTTGTTAGTTGGCTGCGAACAGGAAGAGGAGATCGATAGTTACTGGGATTTAGATTCAAAGAGATCGATCAGTAATCGTAAGGAGGGAAGCAACCTCGAGGAATATCGAGCACCTTTTTCTATAAATTCAGCGCGATCGCGAACAAAGTCGAAACTAGAGATATCCAGTTCGGGGCAGACTCCGCGTGCCAATAGCGATCTGATTCGTACCGATCTCAGCCTTCGAGACGTTTCAACGATTAATCGGATCACAGTTGCGAACGAGCTGTCCACACTCGGGTTTCGATACTCGAGAGTCATACCGATAATCGAGTAAAACTAACGTTTGAAAGACTGACGTGACAGAAAGGGGAAACACTCGAAGAAAATCAAGAAAATGCACTCACTCAGAAATGAACGTTGCCCGAGGTTGAGCCGACAGGAAACAATCGATTAACAGCAAAAATTTACACGAATGGGCGATGAAAGAATCGGAGATTGGTCGAGCGTTCGCTTATTCAGATTGCACATATTCATGAAAGAGCGAGTGAAAACTCGAAAGAAAGATTTCCAAAGGGGAAACCACGAGTCTTCTTCTCTACGAGGAAAGGAAATTCCTTCTTTTTTTTCTTTTTTTTTTTTTCCGAAACGTTGGTAGAGCTCGAGCTTTGATAAGGAAGTAGTCGAGATGACAAAGGGTTGTCCCAGTTGGAAGTTGAGGAGTTGCTGGGCCATCAGATCGACGGAAAAATTTCACGGCGATGCCTCGGCTTACCTTCTGGAGCACGAAGTAACGGTCAGCGGTGGTCCACTGCAGATGGAAGTCGTGGCTAAGTTTATTCATTCTATTTCGGAATCCAGAGCGAGAAGAGGTGGCCTCATGCGCGGCGGACTAGTCAGCCTGACGATAAGAAAAGGCAGGAATAACAAAAGGATCGACGGCAAGGGGATCTCCAAGCAAATCTTTCGCTTGAAAAGATATCGCACCATGTAAGACATCGTAAAACACGATCAAATCAACATTATTATTTATTTATTCAACAAACCTGTATCCACAATAAGGTACAGGCGATGCATTGCACGTCAGTTACATTCAGAAGCGAACGAAACCAGATCTCGATCTGTAACTTTTAATACGCGCATTGCAAATTGGACTATTTATCGTCTCGTTGTTGTGTTTGTTTGACAATTACGTTGGGAAAACGAAAGGCAAACCGAGAGTTAAACGCTGCAAATCCGAAGGAATTTATATATTACATCGCGCGCTGACGAGAGAAATAAACGAAAAGGATTTCCCTGGTTCGCGTGTTATTATTCTCGCGTGCTTATGTAACTATCTTGAGATAGTTGATAAATTAGATGGTTTTCTAGAACAGGAATTAAGTTATATTATTTACACTTTAGTGGCGGTTTCGTGGAGAGAATCGCTCATTATTAATAATGGCTCTGGTTCTGCGAACGCCGTTACAGCCCAATGACTTAATATTCGTACAGCAGCGATAGATCGCGGTGTCAATTATTACCGTGTTTGCTTTCATTGTGCTTAATGTCGTTAATTCACGTTCTACGCGGACAGCCAATCTTCCATGGCGTCTACTTCGTGACAAATTGCATTGATGAATGCAGAAGTACTTTACGAGTATTTAAACCCGAGCCACGTCTGTTCGGCATCTACGCGCGTTTCAAATAGTAAATATTAGAAATTGCCCGAATAATTAGAAAAACTCAAATTAAACACATCGTACAATCTCTTGCGTTCGAATCAATAGAGACACAAAAGTGTTCGGATAATGAAACAATCACTTTGATTATTCGATGGATATCATTAGGGAAATTGTCAGTTTATTTGAATTGCTTCGTTGTTTTTTAACATACATACATAATTCCAAAATTCTTCTCTAATGGTTGAATGTTTCCACGTATGAAGACATTTTGAGGAAAAATTATACATTTTAATAACTTGGTTTCCCAATTAAGGAAATCACGACAAAGCAAGCAAGTAAGGAAAGGAAAAGAGAAGCATCTATTGTAAATAAATGTTCTGCTCGAATGATACAACTATTGGCTATAATAGTTCGAATAATAGTTCGAATATGAGAGGTTCTAGCATGTAATAGAGTTACAAGTGGAACTAAAATGGGTATTCTTATTCTTGTAGATCACCTCAAACTCGCTCTACTATAAGTGGCAGTACTTCTCCGGTAGTAGCACCCTTGGCGCTTTCGGTTTCCAATCCGAGTATCGTACCACTGGTTCCTGCCTCCGACGCTGCGAAAGAAAATGTGGGAACAGCACCGGCTCTACCATCGCCCGCGGCAATCTTGCCGGATCAGTCCTGCATCGAAGCCGAAGTCAGTCTTCGCAGAAAATTAGCTAGAAACGAAAATCAATGAGGATCTTAACCATTTGCACTGAGAATATGATATGATATTTTCACGCTGATATGTGAAACACGAACTTTGTATTCAAAAATATTCTATTTCTTTCTAATAGTTTCATGTGATCAGGGAATGAAATATCGAATGTGAAAGCGATATGGACACGAGCTTAGATAATCGGCTGTTATCTTGATGTTTTCAACGAAAAGTTTTTCTTTTATTAGAGTGTAGAGCATGCCTCAGAAATTATAAATTTGTTTTCATGGTTATTAATCACTCGGGCAATTTGAAACGTTTTAAAACATCATAAAGTGTACTCTTAAGTGTATTTCTTAACATTTCACTCGTAATTAGTTTTAATCAATTTATAATGGTTTTCTAACATTAGGATTATGATGTTCGTTTAATGTTTTACAGATTTAAGTATTGAAAATATTTTGATAAATTGTCGCCCGCTAATAAATTTTTTTCCAGTTTTTACGTATACTGCTGAAAAATATTAAAACGATTCCTGAATGTAAATGGTTAAGATTTCAATCCTTAATACATTTTAATTCGCACGTGTTCTTTACAATAACTATAAAACGACGTCCTTAAAGAGAAAAAAGATATTAAAATTTAACTTACAATGTAATTACAAGCTAATATAATTTGTTTGATTATACAGGTACCGTCGTGTTTGGCTCAATTATCACCAGACGCAAACGCGGCACAGACAACCACATGGCTCCGTGCTGGCCGTTTCAGCGCGTTCGAGTCCACGTTCGCAAGCTTCTCCGCTTCGGATATTTTGCGACTCTCTAGAGATGACTTGATCCAAATCTGCGGTCTGGCCGATGGGATTCGATTGTTCAACGCGCTACACTCAAAGGCGCCAACCCCAAAACTCACCCTCTATTTCTCGTTGGAAGATAACGGCTCGCTTTGGAGAGTTGCCTACTTAGACAGTCTGACCAGCAGTGCCTTGATAAACAAGTTACTGAACACCTTGAGTCTGCCCCACGATCGACTACATTCTGTACTCTTTCTTGGCCCCCAGGGTATTCACGTGTTAGTTACTGATGAACTCGTAGCGAACATGAAGGACGAGAGCATGTATTTCGTTGAAACCATCAAAGGTAACATGAAAAACGAAATGATGACTGAAATTGAAGAGTTTATAGCAATAAGGAGTCAGTTCCAATATTTAACACATGTGATGTTTTCGGATTAATTAACATTTAATTTTAAGATACGAAATAAATAAATATACCTATGTAATTAACATGCTTGGTGTGAAAAAAGGCAAATTTTAAATAGTCGCTATTATGTATAAATGTGCTGGAAGAAAGCTATAAATTTTAAGGTTTTAGTCTGATTTAAAAAACATGGTTAATTTGATTTTCATTGATTTCAAGTGGGTGATTTGAGTGGAGCCCTTCCTTATTGCGATACCTCCTTCAGTTTCTATCAACCTATGTAATAAATTAATTTTCTATTAATCTGTCAAATAATCTTGTATTACAGATAATGCGAGCGAGCGCTACAAGTTGCTTCTAAAGTCTTCGTCGCGTTCCTAAAAGGTACAATCATTAACAAATTAATTGCAAAATTAGTAGATCTCCAATATATGCTAAATTTGCCAAACATGTCTGTGATTTGATAAAAAAAATTTTTTTACGTAATAGAGCGCAAAAGCAGTCAGAAATTAGGAACTTACCGATGTGCTCTTTCTTTTGGTTTTAATTATGACAACGGATTTTATGAAGGGATATCTTATAATAATTTAATCGGTTTATGCAGTTAATAAATTGATTTTGAATTAATTTTCAACGACTATTTTATGCAATCAGGTAGCAACTTGCTAATAGACAAGAATACTTTGCACTACAATACTCACTATCGAAGATCGAAGGTGATCGATGCTTTTGACGTTAAATAGACGTTATTACGAATTATACATATATACATCAAATTATATATTTTATATATATATATATATATATTTTACTTTATACAAAAATTTCAATTATCTCAAAGATAATATACAATTTAGTTAATTTTTCCTTTATTAGAGTTTAAGTAAATTGTTTAGTTTGGAAATTTATTTAGGAAATACATAAGCGGCGGTGATCACCGCGACCATTCAATTCTGGTGCCACGAACATGTAAAAATTTAGAATGCGAGTAATGTTATTGTTATGATTATTCATCAGCGTCGAATGAATTGTTATTTCGAATTTGTACATTTTATTCAGAGCAAGCGATGTCGCTGACGAATATGATCTCTACACACGAAATGTAATATTTTTTTATTATCATGATGTCAAGTAGTCACGAGGCCTAAATGAACGTAGAAAACTCCCAACGAGAAATCATTTTGCTAAGGCAAAAGGTGCAAAAATAGAAAACCAGATCAAGGTTTCTATTCTTCGATATTAAAAGAATATCCTCAAAAAAATATATAAGTGCCTTAATTTTTTTTTTCTTTGTTTTTTGTTCATAGCAAAGTGTTAGAATTTATTTCATAGGGGTTTAACAACTAGGAATAATGACAACTGCTTTGCCACGAAAAATCACGTTTCTCATTACTTCGCAGTACAAACTAGAGAACGATCGATCGTTTCCTTGAACATAGATCACAGATTTGTAGAACATGGACAACATACCAAGTATTATAATTTACTACCAAATGTTAGGTATCGTAAGTTAGGGATCATGAAATGAATCAGTTCCAGAGTTAACGATAAATAAATACGAATTCCTGAATGTATGTCAATATTATATGGCTACGAACATTTTTCTATGTATTATGTATACTCGAACGTGCCTTTATACGTAAATTTGAATCAGTGGCGTATCTCAATGCTCAAAGCGTGTGTCGTTTTACATCACACGAACGAATTATGTAACGATCTTTTTAGAATCAGTTAGCGAAAGAGGCGAAACTGTCTTTGTATATTTTACTTGAAATATTATTGTAAAATGAAATCAAGGGTAGAAAAATTCTATCGTAATACACAGAGGTGTATTATTACGATTGCATGCTGTAATATTTCCATAGAAATTTCGGCGTATGTCATGAATGTCACGGCGCAATAAATGTTCTTTTTGTTGCCAAAAATACATGACCCCTCCCCCAATAAATGGACATATTTATTCATAAATATATTATTTTATTTAACAAAATAGAATAAGTCATAAAATGTGTAATTGTTTTTCGTCGTATATAAAATACGACAAATCATCCTCGAGACAACGTACCGCTGTAATTTACCATACGTTGCACATTCGTATTTCTTTCGTCGCATTTCATAACACGATATCCACGTTATTTCTTTTTCTTCATCTGTTTGTTCTTCTTCTTCTCTTCTCGCTTCGTTTCCCTCTCCGACAGACATCTGAACAATTTGTAGATGAAGAACACTACAATCACAAAAATGCAAATGAAAATCACAAAAATGATATAACGTATAGAATAGAATTAAAGTGGAGCCCTACTCAAAACGTAGTAATCACGATTTATACGATTCTCTCTAAATACCAAACGATTTATAAAAACGACATACCAAGAACGAAAGCTATAAACAGCACAGCGAAAATGAAAACGATGTACGGATAAGAATAAAACAGTGTGTAAAACAGTGAAGAGAAGCTCCAACTACTTTCCATTTTCTTTCTAAACATTTCTGTTACTTCATTCATAAATTGCTGCTTTTCTTCATTGTCCAATTCTTGATATCGTTGATATATGCTAGATAACTTTTCCTTAACATTTTCCGGTAAGATATTTGATAATTTCTCCCGTGCACTGTCGGCCAATACACCTTCGTTTTGCAACGAATCCAAAATCTTTTCCATATTTCAACGTCGTAGAATTTTTCACTAATTAATGTGAGTAAGAGCCGATAAATTGTCAAGTCTGTTAGCAAAAGAAGATACAATTGATCGAATAATTGTTCACGAACAGTGATAAAGTATTTGATTAGATAAGAGGTAACACGTTGAGTTGTGATTATTGTACACGATGCAGAAATGACGATTACGATTACGATTTACGTTTTTGTTATGCAACGTAGCTGATAAAACAAAAATCTGTACTGAGCGTCAGTTTGTTAAAGGTAATCAGAAGAAACGGAGTCTCTAGTCCCAAGTACCGTATTATTACCTAATTTGAAAAGAAATTCCTAATTTTCCCATCTAATAAAACTAAATTTCTAATAGTTTAGATTCCTAAATTCCTAACAGACTCCTTTCGGGTCCAGGAAATATTTACCAAAAATGAGAGCAACTACGCTCAACAAAGACAAGAGGACCACAGTTTGCGTGGTCAGATTACTGCCAGGTATCGATTGATCGCCAGCTTGTGGTAAATCGCCACCCACTCGAATATGTTTTAACAGATCTTCTCTGAGAGATGACTTTTCTTCATCTGACATGCCACTCATCGAATCGAGCATTTCGAGAAGTTGCTCAGCTGTTGGGAGTTTTTCTTCGAAGCCGGGTTCCGCATCAGGAGGAGATACTATTGCGTCAGAGCTCGCTTCCGGTACAACACTCGCTGCATCGTCTGCGTTTACTAATGCAACTGCCAGAAGACTTGCAAGTATTATCCACATCCTAATTAGAAACATTATTCTGTTATACTGACAGATCTTTAGTAACCGTACCAAGATATTGGAGATTAGATAATGATGTTTTTTACACGACACTCAAGACCAACAGAGGACTGTGATGATCGTCATATGCTCGTCCATTAAAAGAATTAAAAACTACCATTTGAAAATATACGTAAGAAGTATCCTGGTTTTTATTTTACAATTTGATTAATACGTTCTTTGTAATAAAAGACTATTAGCGAGTTGTTAGTCACGATGTTTGAACTGTAATTTACCAGCGTACCTGAAAAGATTTTTCGCTTCGAAACTGAGAAACTCTATTGATGTGAGAACACCTTCGGCCACCACGATTAAACGCTGATTAATACTTGCTGGGACGTTTTATGGAAAAGAAATGGAAGAAATCTTGAAGGAACCGATCGCTTCCGAAAAAGATGATCGTTTTACGGGAAAGAACACTCGTGTTTGGCGGGAAGACGGACGATGATCAGACATGTGACCGACGATTGGCCAAAGCCGAAGAGGATCCTTATCTTATTGGTAGCCATACGAATGTTAGGCCAACGTGGCCACTTCCAACGTGTTATCCGAGAAGCCACGAAATACTGCTTAACTTCAACGACCTTGCAACGTTAGATTAAAATGCGCTAAGCAGGCGCATTGCGTTTCTCATAAGATAATAATGTGAAATTGTCGTTGGTGGGGATACAAGTTGTTGTATATGACTAATTACCAACGACGTTTTCAATATTAAAATACACTCGTGGAAATTATTTTTATCTTCATTATACACCAGTTACATCTGATATCTCCTGCGCTTAAGCAAAATTAAAGGTACTCCCAAATTATTTTTTTTTTTAATAATTAATTAAGATAGTTTTCTCTTTTTCTAAGAGAAGATAACATTTATATCTTAAAGCGTAAATCTATCTCTCCATATTCGTTTTCTGCCGCCATTTTTCGTAACTACCTTCTTTACAATTGTAGGAATTTTTTTAAATGAAACGTCTTCGTATGAGCAAAAGATCTGTTAAAATAAATGACTTAAGGAAATGTACATGCTAGCAGAAAACAAATATGCCAGGAAGTCGTATGCCGAAACACAACCGTGACTCACGAGATGAACAATTTACGCGCATCACATGAACTCGATACACCGTATTAAGCTAATCACTTAAAACAATTGTAAGTTTCAAGAATTTCAATCAATGAAATCGTATATCTATTACGTGACTGGTCGCGTCACGCTATGCTCATAAATCTGAATCACGTGCAACAGTTGTAGGTGTTTGACCTACGTTTGATCTACTTATGTATATAACGAGATTTCCAACTTGTTGCAACAAATGAATTCTTTTCGTCGGAAAGTGTTACTTACAACTTTGCTGTAAAGAGATATTATTCCAAATACGATCAAGGTAATGAAAATAAACCATATGTTGAGGAAACAACGTAATTTCTGGAAAATGTATGATACCGCGCTTTTTCAGATATATTCTCTTACCAGCGAGACCGATCAGTATAATAGCAGGTATTACGAAGACAACATTGCTGAATCCGTGTTCGATCAGGCCGTCGAAACCATCACTAAGATCCATTCTGAGACACGAAAAATGTATAATAAATTTTAAGACCAGGTACTATGTAGTAGGAGGCTACTGAAACAGGTGTCACAATAACGCCATCTAGAAAACGCCTGATGCTATTTTAAGGTTAACAAATCGTATATCTCTGTTTTGTTTCTTCAAAAAAGAATTTTACGTTCTTTGATTTTATTCTACTGTTAATCTATCGAATGAATTTCATACTTCACGTATTGCTAATTATATATGTATTAACTACTTATATTGATTTTTGAACTTACAAGCGCCGGCGCATCAATTTTTATTGCATTTCTTTTGTTATATTTGTTACAATTGATGGATAGATCATTGCTTAAGTAAAAACTTTATATCATAAATAGCAGTAACATATTGGAGGATTATTTTACAAAATTATGAATCTCATTTTTTTTTATAATTTCCCTATTAGTTCTCAGATAATTACTATTCACTAATGAATATAGAATGATATTGTACAGAACACGCTTCTAAAAAGTATAAAAATTCTTTCAACGTTGTTCTTTATAAAATCATCCTTTAAAAATATTTCAAATTTCGCGCTTTAGCGAATTTTAATACTTGAGTCTCGTATTACCATTTCCTATAAGCGTAGCTACAAAAAAAGATGCAGAAACGATTCGTTTCCCGCCGTTTCTGCGATACTGTTAGGCTCAATCGGATTGAGAAGTCACTAAAATTTCTCAAGTTGGTGTTAAGTGAAAGAAATATGTTGAAATTCGCAAAATTATCTGATAAAGCGCATGCACCAACAAGAGGATCGGAATATGCTGCTGGATATGATTTAAGAAGGTACATATATTTTTAAAATACGAAGATTGGGGATGATCAATGGATTTTTCAAATCATCGAAGTCTATTGACAAGCATTATTCTCTTTTGTTAACAGTGCCTATGAATATACTGTGCCTGCACGTGGTAAAGAACTTGTCAAAACTGATTTGCAAATTGCAGTTCCTGAGAATACATACGGAAGAATAGCACCACGTTCTGGATTAGCGTGGAAAAATCATATTGATGTAGGTGCAGGTGTTATTGATGCCGATTATCGGTGAGTGTTTAAACAGCCAAATTATGAGCTAACAGCTAATTATTTATATATAAATATAAAGTACATATATTCCTGAATGTTGGAGAGAATTATTGTTTGAGAATGAAAGGCATGATGAATGATGAATGATGGCTGGATATACAGTTACATTATTTACATAAAGAGAATTAAAATTTATTTATTTAATTTTTAATACAGAGGAAATGTAGGGGTAGTACTATTTAATCACAGCAATGAGGACTTTAAAATCATGCCAGGGGATCGTGTAGCTCAAATAATTTGCGAAAAAATAATATATCCTGAATTACAAGAGGTGAATAGTTTAGATAAAACAGTAAGAGGAGAAGGAGGATTTGGTTCAACAGGAAAGAACTAAATTAATAAAAAAACATTATCATTTTGTGTTGCTCCCTTTACTTATTTAAATCCTTAAATTTTGTTATCTATTTAGTATTACTTTAATAAAAAGAATGTGATTTTTGTACATCATTCTATAAAAATACTTTCCCTTACTAATTCAAAAAGCATATTTTTGGCACAGATATCTATACTTGTTATTCTATTCTATATTTTTGAAAGAGTGATTAGATTGGTATACTGTGTTGGCGTTTTCACTAATTTTTGAATATTCTTGAATTCTTTATGCTTTGCATCAGCTAGCAATTTAAAAATAACATTCTCTGAAGTAGCTATGTGGCATCCTATTTCTTTCATTCTCTATGAAAATTATATAGATTAAGTACTAACTTATAATTTTACTAACTATTCACTTATAATTTTTTAAAACTTTTATGAAATTACCTCTAAAGCCAATAATCTGTCTTCTAGAGTACGTGAGGTACAACAATCTGCAACAGTATGTACTTCATAACCACTTTGCCTTAAGTCGATTGCTGTATTCTCTATGCATACATGAGCCTCAAGTCCAATGAGAATAACTGAATCTGGTCTTTTTCCAGAACAAATTGTAGAAAGTTCCTTGTTTATCTAAAGTTTATTTCTAAAATTACTTAAAAAGATCCTTTAATATTGTCTATGAAAAAATTATAGCATAATATAAATACCTCGGGAGTACACATGCTAAATTGAGTCTTTTCAAATGGTCCTTTAACACCAGAAATATCAAGTTCTGGAATAGTTTTACCCAAAGCCTTTGGATTTTGTTCAGAAACAATTATAGGAACATTTAGAAGCTTCAGTGCATTTACCTATGAACACAATATATATATACATATATAATTTAACCTATGTTTTAACCTTGAATCTTTCTGAGTACAAAGTAGTATTAAAAACTTCGAAGTACTAAGGGTTCCCTTAAACCATGTAAATCTTACATATATTTATACCGCATACAATGTCTATTAATATTTAGTTACCAGCTTTACTGAATTTTGTGTAATTTTTTCAAATTCAAACATAGCTTTAGCGAATTTTTCTTGCATATCACATATTAACAGAACACTTTTCCCCTCTTTTAAAACTACTTTCGCAGCGTTTATTGCCATATTTGCAATAATCCTTGAAAAATTGCGTGAAAAAGTGAAATAAAACAAAACTCTTTTGTAAAAGTTACAAAGCAAACCAATCAGCGAGGTCGCTGAGTAATGTCGACGAATTTCTGTACCGCAAGCCCGCAAGCTAACATGTTTTCATGTTGTGACGCACGTGATATTATTCTGTGATATTCAAAGTTCATGGCCAGTCTTGGCTTTACTAACTTTAGACGTGTTGCATTTAATCGATTTCATACGAACCCCCTTGATGCGCGAGCAACATAATAAAGTGCATAAGGATATTACAGTAATTATCATATTATAGTGCAAGCTTGAAAATATTGCTTTATTTTAATCATACATGTCTGCAGGTTTAGTTCATTTTTCTACATATTTTTAATTGATCGGTTATATCTGTTTTCGTTTTTCTGAACAAATACTGTTGACCGGTCAAGAGTATATCCATGTTTTTTTCTACGTCATATATACATATGTATGTGTATGTGCATTATACTTTGGAATACGTTAGTTTATTATTTCCTTATAATATTTAATGTTTCCTTAATTTTAATATTACTGATTTTTCTGGAGTCTTAATATTTTAATTAAAATTTTTAATTAAAACTCTAATTACTAAAATATTGAAAGTACCGAAATATTGTACTGATTAAATATTAAAGAAGAGCAGACAATAAAAATAATTATTATATCGTCAATACATATATAAAACACGAGCTAAATCGCGTAATTAAATCGTATAATGATTTATTTGGAAATTAATGATTTATTTATTTATACATATAATCTAGCATATACGAAACATCGCGAGAGATTACTAGAAATTACTACACATATATTACGAATATAAATTGTGGTCGTAAAAATTTAAGTATTTTAAGACCAAGTATACGACAATTATAAAAATATATGTGAAGAATATTGTTAAAGAAAAATTTATAGAAGAGACGTGTGTTTTTCGTATCAGTTTGTAAAACATTTTCTGGTATTCCAAAAATGTAAATTTACTGATTTAAAGCGACTGTTTCGCGCATGCGTAGTACCGCAGCGACCCAGGTGCGAGTCGGGTACAGCAGGAGAGCAGCGACGAGCGCCAGTTAAACAATGTTGTTCCGAGTGATCGGTTGTACGTCCTCGTTTTAAGTATCATCAGGCTGATCAGATTGATCTAATCAGTTGGTATAATGTTCGCGTACAGTTTAAATCAGGAATCGCACAAATTTTAACAATCTAGAACAATATTTCATTAGTCAGCCATTTCGTGTAGTTCGATCGAATTTGTAAACAAAGAATGGCCGGGGAGCCTCGTGAAACCGGGCATATGAAACCGTTGGTGCAGCTTTTTCCAAAAGCGTCCGAGTGCGTGTACACGAGTTGTTACTGGTAAGTGTTTTAACGAAATTTGCATGATATTTTTAACGACAAAATTATTGATTTGAACAAATAAACGTGTCGTATTGCGGTATATCCCGCGATGGATCGATACGTTGCGGTAGTACAGAGACGGCAGTGCGATATGCTGCCGCCATCTTTGAAATGTATGAAATATCCACGAATCGTGATACACTGCTCCGCTTTGAAAAGACCCGCGCATTTTCATGTTCTACTTATTATTTGTGGGATTATAAATTTTGCGTTTTTCTTTTTTTCTTTTCATTAATCTTTGGTTATAGTAGGAATGTAAGAAATTTAATACGTTCCTTTAATTAATCATGCATGCGTGCTGGCAAATAATTTCATTCGCTATCAAACATGTTTCATTTGTCTTTCAGCTCGTAGACGAGAATTTTCGATGCTTATTCTCGCCTATATAAATGTTCTTTCACGTATCTTGCAATCCTGTTCTCATCTTCTGCTCTACAAAGCTTTGAATCTTCTTACAAGCCATGCGATTTATTATCTATATTTAATAATATTTTTGTGTACTGTTTAATATAATTTCCATTTGCTTGCCCGTATTTCACGAATGTTGTACATTGGGAAATACTGCACTCTCATTTCTGTGCACCGTTCTTTCTTCCTGGTTGATTTCGATCGAAACTAGCAAATTTCGGTTTTCTTTCATTTCTTTTTCCTTCTTCTCTTTTCATTCTCTGCTTGTGTTGCATCGTGTTGCATCACATTTGCACATATCTAAAAAAAACGTGTGTCCGATCTATTCGAACACGTTTGTCTGCAAGAACCAACTATGTTATTCTAGCGAGGAAAATGTATGGAAGCTCTGTCAGGATGTAGCAACCAGGCACGGATCGGAATTACAGCATTGCTATGCTGCTTTTGTGAGCAACTCCTGGCGTAGCGTACCGCTTTGGCGACAACGGGCAGGGAAGGACGAGGATAAACTTGTAGTTTGGGTCAGTTGGCAAGACACGAAACGAAAAACACACACAAACAATTAGAAAACGATTGTTAACTTGGAGGAGATCTCGTGCTTTTTTTTTTTTTT